AGTCAGTAAATATATGCACCTGTTCATCTTTGTGGGGGGAGGTACACCCAGATGTGTGCTCTTCTGGGGCAGCACGTAGTAGTGTCCGGGATCAAACCTGGGTTGGCTGCGTGTAAGACTTTACACTCTACTCTTTTCAGCCCCAGCATTTGTTAGTTATTAATATTGTTTGACCTGGGCCCCTGTCTTTTCTGTTTTGCCCCTCTGTTCCTTCCAAAAGTAGTCTCGCCTGCTACAATCCAGAATTCCCCCCCACCCCTTGCTGATCCTGCAGCGCTAAGGAGCACAGAGCCAGGAGTAAGCCCTGAATATAGCTGGGTGTAGCCCAGAAACAAACAAAAGCACTGCTCACATTGCTGGGTGTTGCCCAGAAAACAAAACCAACTTCCTGAGCTTGGTAGGAGCCCTGGAAGATTTTTTGTTTAGTTTTGTCTGTTGGTTTTAGGACCACATCCTGTGGTCTCTCTCAGGAAACACGTGGTCCCAGGGACTGAACTGGCCTCCTGCATGCAAGGTGAGGCTGCTCCCAGCCCTCTCTTGAGGCCCTATGGAAGCATTTTTGTTTGTGTGTGTTTTGGATTTTGTTTCTGGGCCTTACCCAGCATTACTCAGGGCTTGTGGTTCTGTGCTCAGGGATCATTCCTGGTGGTTTCTGGGGACCATATGTGTTACCAGGGATTGAACCTGGCTCGGCTACATGCAAGGCAAGTGTCCTACTTTCCATATACTACTGCACCGGCCCACCATAGGGTGTTTTTTTTTTTGCTTTTTGGAATTACACATGCAGAGGGGTTACTCCTGACTCTGCACTCAGGAATTACCCCTGGCAGTGCTCAGGGAACTATATGGGATGCTGGGAATCGAACCCAGGTTGGCCGTGTGCAAGGCAGATGCCCTACCTGCTGTGCTGTTGCTCCAGCCCCATCCACCACTGTTTTTTTTTTTTTTTTTTTTTTTTTTTGCTTTTTGGGTCACACCCGGCGATGCTCAGGAGTTACTCCTGGCTCTGCACTCAGGAATTACTCCTGGCGGCGCTCAGGGGACCATATGGGATGCTGGGAATCGAACTCAGGTCGGCCACATGCAAGGCAAACGCCCTACCCGCTGTTCTATTGCTCCAGCCCCACTGTATTTTTTTTTTAAGGTGGATGTATATGGTCCTGTAAAGGCTCCCAGTGTGATGCTTTTATCAGGATTAGCCAAAGGTCTGATGGATTAGGTCAGAAGTCTGATTCACTAACCATAATGATCTTTTTTTTTTTTAATTTAAGTTTTTGGGGCTCAGGAGATAACTCTATGTTCTGCAGCACATGCTTTGCATGCAAGAGATCCAGATTTAAAAAAAAAATTTTTTTTCTTTTGTTTTTGGGCCACAGCCAGCGATGCTCAGGGGTTACTCCTGGGTCTCTTAGGGAATCACTCCTGGTGAAGCTCCAGGGACCTTGTGGGTGGGATGCAGGGGATCAGACCCCAGTCATCCGCATTCAAAGCAAGCAAGCAGCATCTTACCTGCTGGATTGTCTTTCCAACCCCAGTCCAGGTTTGATTCCTGGTCCCACATGGTTCCTCAAGAATCAAGCTAGGAGTAGCCTCTGAGCACCACTAGATGTGACCCAAAAGCTTAAAAAAAAAAATCTTTATTTTTTCTTAGTTTTGGGGTCACACTCAGTTGTGCTCAGGGCTTACTCCTGGCTTGCTTGGGGAACCATATAAGGATTGAACCCAGGTCGGCTAGGGGCAGGGCAAGCACCTTACCTGCTATACTATTGCTCTAGTCCCACCCACCGCCTCCCACCCACACATTGTTGTGCAGGATGGGGGTGTGCTTAATGCCTGGCTGTGGTGAGTGCACATTTTTAGGGGTTGCACAGAAGGTTGTGCTCACCCACGCGGCTGTGGTGCTTGCCAAGGTCAGTTTTCCGATTGTGGTGCTAGCACACATGCCTGATGGGGTTCACACTCTTAGTTGAGGCACACAGTTATGTTTCTGATGCTTGTTGGGGGGTCGAACCCCATTTTTGCGGTGCTTGTACAGAGCTGGCTGCATGTAGGTGTGATCCCAGAGAGCTGAGCTGATAGGCTCACATAAGTGGTTGGAACATGGGGAGGTGGAGGGGGGGTTGAGTTCGACCATCTGTTTCCCAGGCCCTGCACTCCCTCCAGGCCCTATCTTACTCTCTTCCTTTTGACTTGCAGTCTCACTATGTCTTGGATTTGTCGCCTCTCCCATTTAAGACGCTTCCATGTCTTTGGGGGTGCAGTTTGCTAGTTTTCCTCACTGTGTGTCTCTTCCCCATCTCCCCCCCCCCCCCCCCCCGCTTCGCTTAAAGGAGATGAAGCACGGGACAGTATTTTAATCAAGACTTGCTCAATGGTAAGGGAATAGCACAACAACAAAAAGAATATAGTACAGCTAATCCCTAGCGTGAATCAGCCACGTGGCGCCCAGGGGCTGTCTGCCTGCAGTTCAGGTGCTTGGAGCGTTCACCAGTGTATTCTCTGCTAGAGATCTTGCGGTTGGTGGATAGGGAGTCCAGACCAGGATGAAGTGTGAATCAGAGACTCACCAACTCACACCCATTCAGAAAGTGCTGATCTTGACTTCCGCAGATAATCAATGAGTTGGTAGAGTAATCCATCCTGGCTGACTGACCCAGCTCACACAAGTGTTATGCTTTTTCAAGGTCTTCCATTATCACGCTGTGGCTTTGAGTCTGGATTTTAGATGAGCTGAGAATCCTTTGCAGATACCATAGTCCTGGGTGATGGGCTCGAGTGCCGGAGCAGATGCCTAGCATGTAGAAAGCCCCGAATTCCACCCCTGGTACCAAATCTCAGCCCCCACTCCCATCCCACCGCAGCACCTCGGAGGATGGCTCTTATTTTTAAAAACAGCAAATTCTGTAATGTTTGGGTAAAAACCAGGCTCTGTTCCAGGGGCATGTTCTTCCTAGCATGGAAGTTCAAGTTAGAGAAGGCAGAATTGCATAAGAGCTGTCAGCTATGCGCTTCCTTGACTCTCAGAGTCAGGCTTATTATGCCTAGGAAAAAGGAAGTGGAATGGCTCCAGTGCATTGTTTCTGTTGGCAGAAAAACAAGGAAGTGGAATGGTTTCCGGTAGGTGAGCGTTGAACAATCAGGTTCTCTTGGGAGTGCTCTCTGGAGTGGGAACTGGTGTGGCTTGTGTGCAAGTGACCAGTTAGCCAGTGGTGCACACCGCAGATCAGGATGCTATGAGTTTTTAGGCATATAGTTTGAGTAGGTTTAGCAGATGTATGTGTATACCATATTATCGCCACCTGGAGTCACGGGTAAGTCGTGCCTGTCTTTGTAGAACCAGCCCTTCCCGGTCTTTACAGGCAGCATCTTACTGGATTTCTTTCACAGTGGATTCCTGTTCTAGAATTTTCTGTAAGTGCAACCATGCGCATACACCACTCTGTCTGTGCCAAGCGTTCTGGCCAATAGTTCCTGCCCCATTGCCCGCTTGTAACACTACCGCTGCCTCTGTGTATATGTATATTTCATGCCATCCTTAATTGCCCCATGAGTAAATTGGGTTTTTCACCATCTGTAGAAAGATGTGGTCCCTCGGTCTGGTTTACTGCATTAACTTGAAACTCGCCTATCTTCTGACATTTCTTAAAAAAAGGTTTGGGACATAAAAGGGGCAGCAAATTAAAAGCCGTTTCCCCCCATTTGTGCTCCTGGAGGAGTCCTAATGACTCTGGGTTATTCCCTCCCTGCCTCATGGGGCCTCATTGAGATAATAGGATTTGCAATGAAAGTTTGTCTCCCCCCCACCCCCCATCCATTAAGTCAGGACTAAGGTTTCCTCTGTAAATCCTGAATGCATTAGTGGCAGCTGGGTTGAGGGTCAAATGTCAGATTGCTGTGTTGGGAGAGGAGATCTGTGGCTAATTAGACCACTAATTGGCTAAGCTGGGGATGAGAAAAGGCGCAATGCATCCTCACAGGCGGGTTCCAGTGGGATGCCAGGGCCCTACTCAGCCTGTGCTTCCTGCAGTGAAGGATGGAGTGAGAGGCTGGTAGTGGTGTAGAGGCACCCTGCCCTATCTCCCGCAGGGCAGGCTAAGTCACGACATAGATCTGGAAAACTGGCCCTGGTGTAGTCAGGAGAAGAAGATGCAGCCAGTGGCCAGATGTCTGCATCTCAGTTTAAATGCAGTGCTTTGCTTTGGAGAGAAATTCCATTCCCACACACTCACACCCGGCTGATTTTCTTCCTCAAGCACATTCCTTGAGTGAACCCCAGTTTGGAGGAAGAGATTCAGAGGGCTGTTAACCCCTGTATAGGTTGAGTGACATGTATTCAGTGTCTCAGTTACCTTTTTTTTTTTTTGGTGGGCGGACATCTGGTGATGCTTAAGGGTTACTCCTTTACTCCTGGCAGGCTCAGGGGACCTTATGGGGGTGCCAGAGATTGAACTCAGGTCTGCTGCATGCAAGGCAGTGCCCTCCCACTGTACCTACTATTGCTCCTGCCCGCATTTGACAAAGACTATTTCGTGTCTGCCATATGCAAATTCTGGTGCCAGAGTTGAGCAGTGGTTTTCAACTGACACCATGCCTGTGGAAAAAGTTGCAAACTGCTGAGCTAGATGCTATTTGCTTAGAAAGGAAATATGTTCTTGCCTTGCTTTCAGTAGAGCCGGCTTGGAAGGTTTGTAGACACTAATGATGTACACTATGAGAGATGAGAGCTGGTGGATCTGAGAGGTGGCAGAAAGGTGCAAACAAACAGTGCTTCAGGAATTCCACAAACCGGAAGGAAAGACTTATGGTCTAGATTGGGCCCCCTTGTGGGGGAAGTGCCTTTGGAGCTGGGTCCTGTAGGAAGGGATGAGCCTGGGAACGTGTCTGAAGAGCGGAGAGAGTGCAGAGACCAGGACGAATCCCAGGGCTTGTTTCCAGTGTTCACATGGTCAGTGCCTTGCTCTGGCAAGAGGCTCACACTCCTGTGCTCCCTTGCTTTGCAGATCAACGAACTGAGCAATGTCCCCGTCCCAGTCATGTTGATGCCGGATGACTTCAAAGCATACAGCAAGATCAAGGTGGACAATCATCTCTTCAACAAGTAAGCTGCCCCATGAGTGAGTCCCTGTCCTTCCCATCGTGGCGGGGAGCTCGGAACCCTCCAGCAGCTGGTGGGCTGTGACAGGGATGCCTTGACTCATGGAGCTGAAAGCCTGGCAGGGAACACCTGCAGTGTCTCCCTTGCTCCTGGGTCTGCCCGCCACCGCTCTCCCCGGGGGTCTGGGCTCGGCCAGGCTGGTTTGGGTAGAAGAGAACTGCCCGGAGGGAGCAGCAGCGTCCAGCGAAAGGCCTTCTGACAGCAGTGGCTCTACCTTGATCTTAGTCTAAATAAGAAGCTGCCGGGCGTGTTCCCGGCCTGGGAGACAGCCAGTCTCTGTCCAACTGGTGTGAGCAGGCTGAGCATGGTGCTTTGAGGGCACTGTCCCGGGCAGCTCTTCCCCTTTTTGGTTCTGCTTCTGTGGTTGGCACTGGTGTCTGCAGGTTCTCGGACTTGGTTGGCACAGCTGTCCCTTCCACCTGGCATAGCCTGCCACGCTGTGAAGCCATGGGAGGCTTGACTTTTTCACCCCGCAGTGGGGTGCCCCGGGATTATTTACTGTTCACATTCTCTTCCCTTTTTTCACCCACATCCTGGTTCCACTCTCCATTGTCTCCCAGTCTTCACCACCTCACCATCTGGGCTCTGTCACCCACCATTCCCAGACTGTTAACCTGGAGAAGTTTGATTTGAAAATGTCCGTTAGTGGGCCGGAGCGATGGTACAGTGGGGAGGGTGTTTGCCTTGTACGTGGCTGACCTGGGTTCGATCCCCGGTATCCTAGGTGGTCCCATAGCTGGCTATGATACCTGAGTGCAGAGCCAGGAGTGACCCCTAAGCATTGTCAGGTGTGACCCCAAAAGTGAAAAAAAAAAAAGAAAATGTCTGTTAGTGACCTCTCTCTGCCATAGTAAGTGATAACAGCATCTTATTCTATAAGTCGTTTGTTCTTGGTGTCAGAGAGACAATAAAGCAGGTAGGGTGCTTGCCTTGCATGCAGCCAACCTGGATCCAGTTCTTATCTTACATATGATCCTCTGAGCACCACTGGGTATTGCCCAAAACCCCAAATAAACAAACAAACAGAAAGTTGTCTTCCTAGCTGCTGCTTGCTAACCGGCCATATAGACGAGGGAAAGCTGCCTGGGTTTCCCTTCTAGCCCATGCTCGCTGGACTTGTCTGTGCGTGCTGTATGGGTTTCCCACACAACAGGCCATCCACACCAGCCGGCGCTCTGCCCTTCTATTTGGTCAGCGCACACCGCCTGGGGCTGAAACTCGGTCCCTGGTCCTCTCCCTCCCCACAGGGCAGTCATAAGTCCAGGTTTCATCGAGCCCCTGCACCCACAACCCCCAGGTTTGATTCATTTGCTCCAGAATTTGCAGAGATAGTTCACTTCTGAAATCATGAGCTTACTACCAAAGGCCTCCACTCAGGATTAGCCCAGTGAAGCGATGCAAGGGATGAGGGTGTGGAAGGGTGTGGAGCTGCCCTTCTGGGCGTGGGCCCTTCCACACATGAGAGTGTCTCAGCCTGGCAGCCCTGGGTCCTTGGCGGGTTGGTAGGCAGCTTCCTATGGGCATCAGCGAGGGGCTTGTCCTCAAACCCTCTCATCCTGGTTGGTTTCCTTGGCAACCAGCCTCATCCTTTCAGAAGTCACTTCCTACCTTTCAGCCTGTCCCAGGGGTCAGGGCTGTGGAAGTGGGTCTTGTGCTCCTGCCCATTTCAGGGCCCGTGGCCTTTTGTGAAGTTCCATTGCATTGTCATAGAGCAGAACATCCAGTTTTATTTTCTTATGTCTCTCCTCTTTTGTGTTTTTTCAACCACCGTTTATATATAGTTGTTAGACCTCAGCCTTGTTTACAAGAGGAATGGGGGTATGTGAGCACAGGCCCTGCTTCAGAAGTGATGGTGATTTTTTTTTCTTACTTGAAGACTGTCAGTCTGTAGGGTCCAGAGGCACCTGACTAGAATGCTCCCGTACTGGGAACCACGAGGGTCATTGTAGAGGGCCTGACTGCCAGAGAGCTACTTTCTCCTGGGAGTCTGGGCATGATGAGGATGGGAAGGGTGGGGATGGGTGTCAGCCTCAAACAGACCTGACTCCAGGAAGGATGGGACCTCAGTTCCTGGGGCCTCTTCCGCCTGCGCCACCCTTTTCCCTCCCACTACCAGCCAAGGTTTATCATTTCCTGCTCAGAACCTCCTCCTGGGCGTTTTGATAGTAACATACCCGGAGGAGAAGAGTCTGGTGGCCACTGGCCTCACTGAGGGCCTACTCTGTCGGCCATTCACCTCAGGAGGCCCCACTCCGCCTACAGCTCACCTCAGGGGGGCTCATTCTGATGGCCACTGGCTCACTTGGGGGCTCACGTACAGCCTCTCACGCAGCAGACATGAGGCTGGGAGTGGGACCACTAGGCAGGCTCACTCCGCACCGGGGAGATGAAACACACTGAGAAAACTAGCCAGATTCTTCGGATGCAGTTAGATTCATCAAACTAATCCTGGCTTGGTGCAGGGGATGGAACCCGGGCCTCCTGCCGATGAAGCGCGCACTCAGTCCTTTGAGCTCTCTTCCTCACCCGGGGGTTCTAAGGTTTCTGAACTTTGCCGCGGTCAGATTACCTGGCGTGTTTGTTCACAATGCACATTTCCAGACTCGCCTCCAGGATTCCTGGGGCCAGGCCCCGCTGTTGGGAGCAATGCAGATTTGTGTGGCCACACCTGAGAGGTGCCAGTGAAGAAGTCAGCCGAGCAAGGAGAAGTTCACAAAGATGTGTCTCTGCTTTTCCCTAGGGAGAATCTCCCCAGCCGCTTTAAGTTTAAGGAGTACTGCCCCATGGTGTTCAGAAACCTCCGGGAGAGGTTTGGGATTGATGATCAGGATTACCAGGTACGAGGCCTCTGCAGAATTGGAGGGATTGGGGGGGGGCAGGGAGCCCCAGGACAAGCAGAGAAAGGAAACATCTCCCTCCTGCCGAGTCTTCCTGCCACGTCGCCCGTGCTCCTGAGGGCTGAGGCCAGCCGTGGGCTGCCCAGGCTGCCGTGGACTCACCCCTCCTTGGGAGGGGGAGCAGGGGGCGGCTCGGGACGGCGGGAGCTGCTTCATGCTAGCCTGACATCCCCAGTCTAGGCCGAAGATCCCTGCTCCTTCGTAGTTTGGCTTAAGAGAGCGAGAGTTGTGGCCAGCGAGAGAGGAAGCCTGTAAAAGCAGATAAGACAGATTAGCAAAGGAAGACTTCAAGGGTAGTGTCTCCAGGTATGCGCACCGGCTCCTGGGGGCGGTGGAGAGGCGTGGCTGGACACGGCCCCCTTGAGGGGATGAGAGGGTCTATGGGGTGGAATCAGTCCCCATCAAGGGACGTTATAGTTCTGACACAGAGTTGGCGGTTTCTGTGCCTTTCCCACCTGGCACCTTCCCTGGCTCTCCTTCCCTTGGCAGACTCTGGGGGCCAGCGGGCGGCACTTGCCCCCTCATGTTACAGCAGTAAGAAAAACAGATGATGATTTTTGCGCACACAACTGTGGGGACGAAAAGAGCGTACAGTTAGTGAAACGCCCAGCTCTTTGAAACTCCTGTACCAGGCCTTTTCTGGGTAGTTCCAGGAGAGCCAAGCGGGCTCCTTCCCATCTCCCTCCTGCACGCAGGGAGGGGAGTGTCAGGGGCCCCGAGGAGATGCCAGGCCCTGAAGCTGAAGGCGGGCTCGCAGCCTGGGTGTTCTGGCAGCCCTCAGCCCCTCCCACCCCTCCTCCCAGGGTGTCCAGGCGCATCCTCCCAGCGTCCGCCCTGGCTGGGCTCAGGACTGAAAGAGGGTCCGGGTGGCTGGGGCTCGGGAAGATGTTCGGGGTTCGGCTTGGACTCGCAAAAAGGGAAGTGAGGCGGGGGGTGACCCTCCTGTGCACTGGGCTTGCCCCCGGGAGGCTGGGAGCAAGCCCCGTCAGCAAGCAGCCTGCTCGGCACCTCTAGCTGAGACACCCTGTCTAGGAGTACTTTCTTAGTTCTCACCCCTCACCACTCCAGCTTCCCCCATAAAGGTAGTGCTCCCTACTCTCTCAGTGTCTCCCAGAGGCATTTGGAAAGAGCCAGGGAAGGGCTTGGAATATGAGTCCGTGGGGTGTCCTCCGTCACCTTGCTCTGTCTCGCCCCTGACAGTGGCCCCAACTGCTCCCCATCCTAATGGGAATGGGGCCTTGTGGGGGAGCAAGGGCAGAATCAGAGAAACTCCCCAGGACCTTGTCACAAAATGGCCCAGAAGGTTCTGCAGGGCAGTGTGGGCCGGTCCCTGCCAAGCACTCAGCCTGTCCTGCCCAGCTGCTAGACTCAGCCTCACCCCTGAGAGCTCAGAGTTAGGGAATGAGTGGCTCATAGAGGATCCTGGTCCTCTGAGAATAGCTGGGAAAGACCCTGGCGGGTCCTGAGCACCACTGGTGTGGCCTGGTGGTCCTCGGCACTGCAGGGACTCTTGCATTCTTGGCCCTCATGAGCCCCAGGCCCACTTGGCTGAGCACTGCCTGGCCCCTGAGCACTCTTTGGGAGGTCCCCAATTAATAGATACATAAAGAGCTAGAGCTCATCTCCGGCCATGTTTGAGGATCAGAATGACGGGATGCGTGCCCTGCAGCCTCCCGTGCTGGGGTGGGGGCGGGGACAGATGGATTTTAGGGAGGACTACTGGGGGGCTCTGGGCTGCCATGAAAAGGAGCAGGTCAGGACACCCCTCAGTCTTGGGGTTGCGGCCTATGGAGAGCACACGGGGATGCGGGGAGCCAGAGCTCTTGTTCTCCCTCCCAGGACAGCCTGCTTTTGTCTTGTCTGTCAGAATTCGGTGACACGCAGTGCCCCAATCAACAGCGACAGCCAGGGCCGGTGTGGCACGCGCTTCCTCACCACCTATGACCGGCGCTTTGTCATCAAGACTGTGTCCAGCGAGGATGTGGCCGAGATGCACAACATCTTAAAGAAATACCACCAGGTACGGTGAGTCCCGGCCTGGTGGAACTTCCTGGGAAATGGGTCCTGCCTGGTGCCCCCGGTCAGCCGGACTGTGGCCCTCCCTGGACCCAGCTTCTGTGAGGCGAGGAGAGTGAGGGGGCTGCTGCGTGTTTCGGCTGGGAGGGCTCACACGGGCACCTGTTTCATCCCTCCTGAAAGGGCTCGTGTGCTCAGCACAGCTGCTGTGTTACACAGCTCCACTCACCCATGTCCTGAGAAACGGGACTGTGGTGGCCGCTGGCGAGCCCGGGGCCTGGCAGAGCTGTGCTGTGGGCCTGAATGGCCAGGGCAGGCCCTTGGACTGGTAGAGCATTGCAGGGCTGAGGGCAGGGATTTTCTCGTGATGAGACTGATCCCTGTAACTGGAAACCAGGTGCGCTTGCCTGCTGCAGCCTCTCCTTTGGCCATGCCAGTTGGGGGCGGGGGGGGGCTGTTGCCTGCGAAACCCTCACATGTTCACAGAAGCCCCTGGAGGGTATCTGGTGCCTGGGTAGAATCCAGGAGTGTTACTCAGTCGGCGATCCGGCTCTCCCTCTCCTTGGTCAGTTCATCGTCGAGTGCCACGGCAGCACGCTCTTGCCGCAGTTCCTGGGCATGTACCGCCTGACCGTGGATGGCGTGGAGACCTACATGGTGGTCACCAGGAACGTGTTCAGCCACCGGCTCACCGTCCACCGCAAGTATGACCTCAAGGTAAAGGCCCTGAGCTGCCCAGTGTTGGGGCTACCTCTCCCCAGGCCTGCTGGAGGCGTGGTGTCTTCATGGCATGAAAGGCTTCGATGAGTGGGACACGCCTGGGCACTGTTCCAGTCACAGGCCCAATCCTGTGGGCCAGAACACGAGGGTGTGTGCCAACAGGCCGTTCTGACGTCATGGAGCGTGCTCTTCCCGCTCCTCGGATCTTCTCCCTTGCAGCCCTGGCTCCTCTTCCTGACCTTTCCCCCACCTCTCCCTCTCCCTCCTCAGTCCCCTCTGATCTCAGCTCAGGTCCAGACAGCAGGCCTGGCCCTCTGCATCCCCCTCACCCGGGCCCTGCCCCCATGCTGCCCATGGGCTCAGAATGGCCCTTCTCCTCCTCAGTGTCCTTGACTGCTGCCCATTGTCGGGCTTTCCGGGAGCAGAAGGTGCCCTGAAGGCAGAGTCTCAGCCCTTTTGTACCCTTTGACCTGCATCTTGCCCCCCCCCCCCCCCACCGAGGGAGCACATTGCTCCAGAGTGCTGCAGGTGTTGACACTGAGGGCTCTTCCTCATGGCTTTTATCCTTTCAGGGGTCCACGGTTGCCCGAGAAGCCAGCGACAAGGAGAAGGTATGCTGGGACCTGCCTGGCCCAGTGACGGGATACCTGGTGTCCAGAGCCCCTTCTGTTAGCCACCCTCCTCCTCCTTCCCCACTGTCACCCAAGCCCCATTGTCCCCAGCACAGTGTCAGTGTGCGGTGCTCTGGGCCACACAGCACCTGCCTGTCCTCGGCTGCTTGTTGGCCCTTGCCGGCTTCCCAAGGGCCTGGCAGTTACCTGCTCAGGGGAGCCTGATCCCTGAGTGGTTCCCCGGGAGCACTTGCTTCGGTCTGGCTGGCTCACCTTCCCCTCCCCATCGCGCCGCCCTCAGCAGAGCACCCCAGCCTGAGTGTGCTATTGTCCTCCCAGGCCAAGGACTTGCCGACATTCAAAGACAACGACTTCCTCAACGAAGGGCAGAAACTGCATGTGGGAGAGGAGAGTAAAAAGAACTTCCTGGAAAAACTGAAACGGGATGTTGAGGTACTTACCCTCATTTTCCGCTGGGTTGAGCACCAGAGACCCACCCCCCCGTCTCCAGGCAGGAGGCATCTTTTTAAGCTTTAGAGACCGTGGATTTACTGCTTCAGAAGAGGCCAGAGAAAGTTAACTGTACATGTAACATGAGAGCAGGTGAACATGCCAGAGCACAGTGTGCAATAGGGCATCTCTGTAACACACTTGGGAAGGTTCTTCCTCTCAGCTCTTTGCTCATCCCTTCTAGCACTTTCCTTTCTGTGGGCCTGATGGTGGTGGGGTACGGGGTGGGGAGGGGGAAACAGCCTGGCAAGTAGAGGGCCAGGAAATAGCTCTGAAGATCTACCCAGTTCCTTCTCCTGGTGAGTCTCCAGTGACCCTGCAGCCTTTTGTTGGGAATGGAGCTTCCTGGGTTGAAATTCCTCCAGGGTATACGGTCAACCCTAGTTTCATCCCATCAGGCACCCATATGGTTCCCCAAGCCCCTCCAGGATTTGATCCCTGAGTGCAGAGCCAGGAGTAAACCTTGGGCGTTTTTTGATGTTGCCCCCCCCCCCAATAAAGAGCATAAATAATAATAATAAATAATAAATAATAATAAATAATTCTTCAAGAGCAGGTTCTAAATAGTATTGTCTGGGACCAGAGAGATGGTACAACATGTCATTCATTTGCCTTGCATGTGGCCCATCTGGGTTTGATCCTCGGCACCCCATATAATGTCCCCCCGTTTGCCAGGAGCAATTCCTGACCACAGCCAGGAGTAAGCTAAGCACAGCTGGTGGCTCTGAACCCAAAAACAATAAAAATAATAAAAAAAAAGAAATTGGAACCTGCTTATGAAAACCAAGCCCTATAACCCTTTAAAAAAAAACAAACACTTTTTTTTATTGTAGTAAAATTAATGTAATATTTATCATTGTCACTAGTCTGAAGGGTCCAGCTCAGTGGCATTAAGCCCATTCACACTGTAAAGCAGCCTTCACTTCACCGCCCCTGTCTCACCTTTCCCATGAGTTCCATCTCCCCTTCCCAGTGGGCCCTTCCGCCGCCCTGTCACTCCCAGAGCATGGTGCACGGTCGTGAATGAAAACACGAAGGAACAAGTACGTGGAAGAAAGCACGAGGCAACAAAGAAATCCCGAAGCCTCGGGATGGCCTGGTGGTGGCCAGCCCACTCTCTGGATAGTTGCTTTTCTTTTTCTCTTTTCTTCTGGCATTGTCTGAAATCAAACACAGGTTTAATGCCTGCCGGGCGTGTGCCCTGCCGCTTTGCCACATTCCGGCCCTGGGTCCTTTGGCTCCAGGTTCTTTGAGTGGCACTGACTCCTCCTGGCACTCACCTAAGTGACCCAAACCATCAGGGGCTTCTTTACTGCCTCCAGAGGGCTCTGAGCCAGGATGGGGGCTGAGACTGGCGACAAGCCAATAGACTAAAGGGCTCAGACCCTCTGCTGCTGGCCAGAAGGGGCTCTATAGAAAACGGGAGCAGGGAGGCACAGTTTAGGAATGGGGTCAGAATCAACAATGAAACCCACCCTTAGACTGGTCCACTGAGCACGCTCAGTCTTTCTGCAAACCTGAACAAAAGGCTAAACTGAGGACAGACTGTTCTTTAGTTTTGGGGCCAAGGACAGTTGTCCTTGATCTCTGGCCCCTTTTCAGGACCATCATGTCATTGAGGCTCCGAGTTGTAGTCCGGTTAGGGATTTCCTTCCTTTTTAAGACTTCCTAAAATTCCATTGTCAGTATCTTCCACATTTCCTTTATGTCTCTCCGTTGGTGGTCACTTGACATGTTAGAAGACTGCCCAGAGAAATGAACTCGGCTGTAGGTAGAAGACAGTTGGATGGTCAGGGAGTTGGCCCACGTGATCATGGATGCCCAGAAGTTCCAAGACCTGCAGCTGGCAAGCGAGCGGATGTTTCCTTCCACTACTGACAGCAGGACACAGCTGCTGTCCGGGCGGGCAGGGCTCCTGGGTCAGCCCCGGCTTTTTTCCTTTATCCCTTAACTGACTGGACAAGGGAAGGCTGTCTGCCTTCCTCAGGTGGCTCAAGTGCTAACTCCAGCCATAAACCCAGGCACACCCTGAATCTGGCCAAATCTCGGGGTGCAGTAATGCACGTGAGCTGGGTGCTGCTGCATGTGCCTCTCCGGCCTTGGCTTTCCCGCCTCACCCCTGCCATGTCAGTGTTTTCTTCCGCCTGTGTCTCCCGATGTCTGGGTTGGCCTAGCCTTCTCCTCACCCTACCCCGCATCTAAGAGTCCCATTCATTTGTGTTCGCTTGCCTGCGATTTCATCACTTCGCAGGTGGGTAAAGGGGGAGGACTCTAGCCCCTGTTCTTCCTTCAGGGCCCGTGTTGACCAGGGAAATGGCTCAAAGGGAATGATAGCGCCTTGGGTTTGGCCTGCCCAGCTCTTGCAGGAGCAGACTGCCATGGATAGCCCCTGGGCACTGTTGAGCGTGGACCCTCCCTCTTGTCCCCCTACAAAAATGTCATGCCCAGGGACTGGCTATGACACTCGGTGAGGACGGCAACACTGGCAAGCAGCAGCCCAACTGTGTGTGAGCCCCCCACTTAAACGTGGCGAGGGAGGGGGCTGGGAGATAGGCCCGCAGGGTGGGCCCTGTGGGGGTGCTGCCCATTACTATGCCCAGGAGGTGCCCTGCCGCCTGCTCTTGTGTTGTTTTCTGGGCCAGTGTCAAGGGCTACTCCGATCCTCTGCGGCTCCTCATCACAGCGGCCGTCCAGACAGTCCCCGGGCTACGGCCTTGCCCTGCCACTGGCTACCGCCTGACTCAGAACCAGGACTGGGACATGCCTCCCTCCAGACTGGCTAAGCTGGAATGTGGACTGGAAATTCCCGTCCTGGGTCATTCCCACGCTGTTACCTGCCACCTGGTGGAGTCAGACTCAAAGACCCCGACCCCATTCTGCCTGTCGCTCTGCGGGTGAGAGATTGAAGTGGGGCAGAGGGAGCTGCTGGCTGGCAGTCGACCACAGTGGACAGAAGAGCCGCCTCGCCGCTCCCCTCATTCAATGCAGAGAGAGCAATGCTGGCAGCGCTCTTGCTTTTTGGGGTCAGGGCCCCTCACGGTCACAGCCAGCTGTGCAGGGATCACAATCAGGACTGGCGCAGGAAAGGCTGGTGTGCTCTGCCATTTGAGCCCGGCCCACGCTTGCTGGTTGAGCTGCTTGCCAGGGGTCATGCACTTTCTAGGGCCGGTGCAGGCACACGCCTGGCTGGACTGCATGCAGGTATCCCCCAGACCTGCCTGCCGGGCTGCTGCCCCCTGCTAGCTCAGTGCGGTGCTGTGCGCCGGTCTGTCTCTCTGCGTTTATCCTGATTGCGCCAAATCCAGATTGCAGAGCTTGTTGGACTTGGTGATCCTTAACTGGAAGTACGTCTTCCCCTGCCCCTTAACACCTCCACCTACCCCGCTGCAACGCTGAGGGGCCCTACCCATGCTTCACACTCCGCAGCCTGAGCTTTTCTCTCCTGAGTGGTATTTCATAGTAAAACAGTGACAGTTACCACTGCCAGTCCCTGCCTGCTGAGCTGCATTTAGTTCCCACAGTGGGTGGCACTGTGCCCTTCGAGGACAGGGGTGGCCCCCAGGCCAGACCGTGTGGGCTCACTCTCCCTCTGGCTAGGGGTTGGGGGGTGCATCTTTCTCCTACTGCCTTTGGTCCCAGGGGAGCAGCTGGGGGCAGAGCCCTGAGGCCTTGACTATCCTTCAGAACTGGAGGATGGAGGTGAACCTTCTGCCTTTTCTCCCCTCTGCAGAGGCCACTGGGCTGTCCCGTGTGACCTCTTCCTTGCGTCCCCCCTAGTTCCTGGCGCAGCTGAAGATCATGGACTACAGCCTGCTGGTGGGCATCCACGACGTGGACCGGGCCGAGCAGGAGGAGATGGAGGTGGAGGAGCGGGCGGAGGAGGAGGAGAGCGAGAACGACGGCGTGGGCGGGAACCTGCTCTGCTCCTACGGCACTCCTCCCGACAGCCCAGGCAACCTCCTCAGCTTCCCCCGCTTCTTTGGGCCTGGGGAATTTGACCCTTCTGTCGACGTCTACGCCATGAAAAGCCACGAAAGTAAGCAGGAACTTGGGCCCGTCTTCCCCACTGCAGGCCTTGTCCAGCTGGTCCCTGACGTCTGCCTCAGTAATTGCTAATTTGGGCCTCAAGCTGTGCTGGGCTCCAACATGGGTTAGCACTAGTGACCACCCTCACTGGCAGGCCGGTCCTGCAGCCAGGGAAGGGCTTAGCCATCGTGCCCTCACTGTGAATGTGTCAGATCCCCGGCAACATAAAACACACAATCTGTGTCCGGGCAGGGTCTGCTCTGGGTTGTGGAATGGAGGAACCCTCCCAGATACCATCACGTCTGCCCTGGTGGCGGCGAGGAACAAGTGAGCTCAGCGCCGTGGCAGCTTCTTGGGGAGCTCCTCTTGCCGTGCTGCACCTGCGGCCTTCTGCTCTTCACCCTGTCACCTCTTCTCCCCTCTTCCCCGCAGGGGCCCCCAAGAAGGAGGTCTACTTCATGGCCATCATTGACATCCTCACACCATACGACGCGAAGAAGAAAGCCGCTCATGCAGCCAAGACAGTGAAACACGGGGTAAGTGCCCCCTGCCCTGTGCGGGAACTGGAGCTCACCTGGTGCAGGTGGCACTGTGACACTTGTGACAGCTTTGCTCCATGCTCAGGCTCTTCTCCAGTGCCCACGGCTGTCGGCGGCAGTGCCCCGAACAGGGGTCCCCACCAGTGAGCTGGAGCTCCCCAGTTAAAGAGGCACACAGTGGTGCCCAAGCAATAGTACAGCGGGTAGGACATTTGCTTTGCACACGGCCGACCCGGGTTTAATTCCATGTGGTCTCCCAAGCACCGCCAGGAATAATTCTGAGTGTAGGGCCAGCAGTAACCCCCAAGTATCACCACATGTGACCTAAAAAGACCAAAAAAAAAGGGTACCCAGTGATCCAGCCTGGGGTGCTCTCAGAGCACCTCCTGACTTTGCGTTCCTGGGTATCACTCGAGGGTGCTGGAACTTTGCTTATGGCCTGCCCAGCGTGGGGAGTTTCAGCCAGAACACTGAGTGGGGGAACCTCTATGTCTTACAGGCGGGGGCCGAGATCTCAACAGTGAACCCCGAGCAGTACTCCAAACGCTTCAACGAGTTCATGTCCAACATCCTGACGTAGTTACCTGCGGCTTCAGCCAGAGCCAGAGACCTGGCCGTGGAGTCCGGGCCTGCGGAGGGGGAGGGTGTGCTGGGGCCGGCCGGGAGGGCGGGGAGCAGCAGGGTCCTCACAGTGTCCCTGCGCCAACAGGGTGTGGCATCGACTTCTGCTTTCCCGGGACTTTGTTCCCCCTTTGACCCAGGTTCAAAAGGGGTTTCCTGTGTGATCTTGTAACCTTTCACGAACCCTTGGGGCTAGAGATGATGATTTTATGGGTTTATTGGGTTTTGTTTCTGGACTCTCATTGCTCCAGGTTTGCTATTTATAATGATGTATGTCATCACCCTCTCCACCTCCCATCCCTGCCCTGCTGTCAGCTCCCTCAGTTAAAGAGGCACCCCAGGGACCCCACCCAGGGTCCTCTCAGAACAAAGCGCTGACACCAGTGAGGAGATAGATGCCTCCGCCTGTGTTTCGGCCTTGGCATCACCCCCTCCCGCTTCAGCCAAGTGCCCCGTCAGAGACCTGGGCTGCCTCCCCATGCTTTTCTCCCAAAGGATCACTCCAGACCATCGCTGCATCTCGGAGCAGAGTGCAGAGGGAGTCCGTCCTCATGGGATGGCAGGAACGGCCATGGAGCGCCCGCGATGGTCACCAAACTGCACACTCAGTGTCCTTCCACAAACCTGCACTCCGTGGGGCCCAGGAACTAAAGCCCTTGGCTGTAACAGGACCCGGGACTGGAGTTTCTTGTGCCTCCATTTACTTCTGACCTGCTCCCGGACACCCTCACTGGTAGATGACCTTTTTGTGGGGCAGATCTCCATAACTTGGGGTGCTCCTCGCAGAGATACCTCTTGAAGTCCAGAGCTCCATGTGGATACTCCGGCTCCCTGTGCCTGTGGACATTTACCGGGATGGTCATGGCCAGCTGGGAATAGTGCTCGCGCCTTGGGGTTGCTCTGTCCCCTGAGGATGTGCTCCAAGGGGTCCCCATTAGAAGCTCCCCAGGTGGTCCTGCCTGGCTTTGAGCAGATGTTCTCCCCAGACCACCCCAGGAGAGGCCTCTGGAGCGCCCTGCTGTGTCCACCCCTTTCTGAGCCTTCCCTTAAGCCTGGGAATGGAGCAGACCCTGCGGGGTGGCTGCAGAGCTGTCTGGTCCAGCTGGGTGCTCGCAACCCACTTGTTCTGCTTCTCCAGGAACTGCCACCTGGGGGAAACAAGCTGACACTTGGGGAGAAAGTGAATGGATCTCTCTGAACAAACAGTTTGCTTTCCCCGGGCTCCGGCCAGCTTCCAGAGCAGGAGTGCCCACTGCCTGTTACCCCTCGGGGAACTGGAGAGTGTTCTGGGGCTGTCTGCGCCCTCCTGGAAGCAGCGGCCACCCTGCTCCCTGCCTAGGCAGGAGCCACCGGCATCTGAGCGTCAGTAGCAAAACCACCCAGCAATCTGGAGAAAGAACTTAGGTCCAGTGGTCCCAGCGAGAACAGGAACTTCAGAAAGGGGTCGTAGGACGTTTGGACTTGGTTTCCCCACCTGCTAATCAAGAACAAACATTTGGACTTGCTGGAGCCTGGCGCCCCCCAGGCCTGGGCTCCCCCGCTTGCGAATCATGTTGCCATATTGTACGAAATGAAACAATCAGTGAACCAGTAGCAGAGGGGCTACCTACCAGCTCTCTGACTTCATTAACATTGAGTTTTTGTTTCCTGGTCGGTTGGTTTTAGTATATTGTTTACATTCTGTGAGGTAGCATCGTCTCAAACGCTCCCTTCCCCCCCTAACAGTATTGTTGTTTGGGCGGAAACATTTGAGCTGTGATTTGGTGGATTCAGATTTTTTTTTAAAGGTCATTCATTTCTTCAAAACCATGGGTTTGCCTCTACTTCCTTAAGCATTCTAATGTTTAAAGGCTATTTATCTTGATTTGTATAAGTTTTCTCTCCTTTTTTTTTTTGTAATGGTGAAGATGCTGTATTGGGTTTGCAGTTGAGTGTAGAGAAAGTGAGCTGGCCCGTTTGTTCCCCTTTTCTTCTTCTGCCTCGGCAGGGGAAGTGGCAATCCTCAACCTCTTTGGAGCCAAGAAGAAACGTTAAAGAGCACCCCGGGATCATTCCGGGTGTCCCAAGAACAAAGGTATTGGAACGGAAGATGGAACAGAAGATGGCCGAGCAGGGAGGGTGGGAGGCTGAGGGGCAGATTCCTCTGCCCCCAGCCCTGCCCTTTCACCTGGCAGCTGCTCCTGTGCCTCCTCGGACAGCCCTGCAGACTCCTCCAGGCCACTGATGAGCCACTGAGTCAGTTTCCCCTCCTGCCTTCCTAGGGGCCCCAGGGACCAGGAGCGCCTTCTTCTCTTGCTCAGGGGTTATGGCCTGTGGCTTGCACCACGAGTTGCCCCCGGGGCTGTTCTCAGTGGCATTAAGTTCCCACACACAAGCAGTTCTTCACCTCCCTTGTCTTCCCCTTCCTCTTGCCTGTGCTTTAGGCCTCAAACAGGTCCCCTGACTGTGCTCACCACACCGGGGCCCGCCCAAGACTCTTCTCAGTAGCAGTCACACCCCCTTCCCCACCTTGTCTTTTTACCAGTTCTTGGTGGAAGAGGGAAAAAAAGCGATTCCCAAAAGTGATTCTCAAGTGTGGAGTCCTCATCTTTTCCTGGCAGAGATGGGGGAGAGGTCCGGCGTGAGCACAGGAATCAAAGGGAGAATACACTCAACTGCCCCCCCCCATCTACCAGCCATCTGCAGGTGGGGGTGAGGATGCCACATGCCTATAGCCTTCTGAGATGCGCTACTGTTCCCAGGGGCTTGTCCTAAAGAGCCTCAGGAGGCTGGGGAAGGAAGCTTCTAGAAGCCCACCTTCCCTTGCTCAGAGCCACGACTTGAGGCGCTGGGAATTTTAGGGGGAGGCCCGGTGCTGCTCAGCGCCCCCAAGCATCGGGGCAGATCATTGCAGTAAACAATGAATGAATTGAGTCAACTTTTTTTTTGGAGGAGGGGAAGGCAGGATAAACGATCACCCCATTCGTGTGCGACTTCTTGATCTCCCGCTGCAGTTTCCATTTTTTAAAATAGGAATTTTCAACCCCCTGTGCTTGTCTAATGTCTGCTCGAACTGTCCAAGATCCCGTTCCTGTTTTAAAATGCATGCATGTTAAGATGACTCTCGACCTGAGGGAAAGAATAAAACTCAAAAAGCTTTGTGTACACATCTGTTTCGTGAGTCCTTTGAAAGGTTGGGCCTCCCGCTCCTGCTTCCCGCACCCCCCAAGCCCTCTGAGAATGAAAAGGGCTGGATCCAGTTTTGTTGGTTGCCTGTGGCCAGGCTGTCAAACTAAGGAAAGGCTCCGTCTCTGCCTCCCACCCTCCTGCTGTGTAGAAAGGCAACATGGCCCAGGAACACACCCAGTACCCCTCTTCCCCCCCCTCGACAAGCTGTGGCATGTCACCTACATGACCCAGGTTCAATCCCCAGCATCCTATATGGTCCCTAAGCATCACCAGGAGTAACCCAAGAGCATCGCTGGGCCTGATCCAAAAAAGAAAAGATGATTGTTGGCTGGAGCCATAGCACGGGGTAGGGCATTTGCCTTGCACGCAGTTGACCCAGGTTCGATTCCCAGCATCCCATATAGTTCCCTGAACACTGCCAGGAGTAATTCTTGAGTGCATGAGGCAGGAGTAACCTCTAAGCATCGCCAGGTATGACCCAAGAAGCAAAAAAAAAAAAAGATAATTGTCTTAAATCTTGGTTTGGTTGTTGTCTGATGGGTATATATATCCTCTGACAGCACTGTAAGAGGGAGAATTTTTTTTTTAATTTTTTTATTTTTGGGTCACACCTGGCAATGCTCAGGGGTTACTCCTGGCTCTGCACTCAGGAATTACCCCTGGTGGTGCTCAGGGGACTATATGGGATGCTGGGAATCAAACCCAGGTTAGCAAACGCCCTATCCGGTGTGCTATCGTCCCAGCCCCCAAGAGGGAGACTTTTGACCTAACCAAGTTCATACAAGATTTTTTTAGCAATCTATACTTGACTCATAGTACGTGCTCAGTAAGAAAAGATAAAACCCCTCGTTTTTCCAAAGGACTTTTCCTAGCTTGACTATTATACCTTATAACTTTTCTCCTCTATGTGAATGGGCACAGTTTGTCCATAACTCCTCTTTTGTTCTCGACCCCTTGTGGATTGTTCTGTGTATAGAGCAGTCTCTGACAGGAGACAGAGAATCAGGCAGAAGTAAGAGAGTTTCAGACTTTGAGCTCACAGAGCAGGTCTCCTTAGGTCCCAGTCGAGAAGGAAGTCCTTGACTGCAGTGAGGGCTGTTCCTCTTTTCTGACCAGTCCTCAGTCTTTCTCACTTTTATTAAGGTTTCATTGAAGGTAGGAGTAGCCCCAGGCCCTCGAGCTTTGCCTTTTGTTTGGGCAGAGGGAGGGCATGGGGAGGACAGGGCCCACACCCAGCTTACTCCTGATGCTGTGCTCAGGGGTTCCGGGGATAGAACCTGGGTTGGCGGCATGCAAGACAAGCACCCTGCCCATCGTACTCTCACTCTGGCCCTACCTGCTCTACTTATAACTGATGTCCCATTTATGTTTAAAATAAAACCAAAAAAAGCCCAACTTTTCTGAGGGGTGGCCCACACTCAGTGGTGCTCAGTGGTTACTCCAAGCTCTTCACTCCTGGCAGTGAACCTTACAGGATGACGGGGATTGAACCTGTCAGTCACATGCAAAGCAAGTGTCCTACCCACTGCACTACTGCTCCAGCTCTAAATTAAAAAAAAATATATATATGTGTGTGTGTGTGTATATATATATATATATATAGAGAGAGAGAGAGAGAGAGAGAGAGAAGAGAGAGAGAGGGTTGAAGGTAAAGACCCTTGTGTGGCACACTGCCAGCCAACCTTGGTTCAAATTACAGGTATTACATATGGTCCCAACACTACCAGAGGTCACTCCTGAGCAAAGAAAACAAAATCTGGGTAAAACAAAACAATCTAGTTCTGTGTGGTCTTGGACCAGCAGCAGAGGGAATCACGAATGTGCATTTTCAAGGCTTCCCACGGTTTTAAATGAGCTTCCAGGTGATCCTCACAGGCTGGAGTCTGGGAAAATTCCCACTTGCTTATTAAGGCTCTTTCCTACAGGGGGCAAACTGGAGTCACTTGCAGAGTGTTTAGAAGACAAGGGCCCGGACTCCTTTAAAAGGCCAATTAAGGGCAAGGGAGAGTGGTCTTCAACCACCCCTCTAGGGGAAAAAAGGTCGAAGAACCCTGCCTGGAGGGCTAGAGCACATGTTTTGCCCATGGGAGCTCCAGGTTCAACCCCTGTACAGTACGGTCCCCAAACCATACATGTGACTCAGAAAAACAAGAGGCCAATCATTTGGTTCATGAGTAGAATGTGCCTCACTCTGGTTTGATCCCTGGAACTATAGAAAATAAAAGGCCAACTAAATCAGAATTTCAATGGATGGGATCAAAAATTGGTATTTTGTTTGGTTTTCAGGCCACAACTCGGAGTGCTCAGGAATGACTCCTGACTGTGTTCAAGGGATACCCAGCGGGGCTCAGAAAACTTCATGGGGTGCTATAGATTGAACCCGGATCAGCTGTATGCAAGATAAGCGCCCTACTCACTGTACTATCTCTGTGGCCCCCAAAATTTGTTTTAGAAGTACTCCAGGTGAGGCAGGAGAGACAGTTCAGTGGGTAAGATGGTTGCCTTGAATCTGGCAGAATTAGTTCAATCCCCAGCATCCCATCTGGTCATGTGAGCACCACCAGGAGTGATTCCTGAGTGCAGAGCCTGGAGAAACCCTTGAACACCACTGGGTGTGGCCCCAAAACAAAACCAAAACGAAGATAAAAAGGCCCCAGGTGATAAATGTGCAGCTAAAGGAAGTACACGCTCAGGGGCAGAGCACTTCCCTATATGTGCGAAGCCCTTGAGTTGCACTCCCAGCACAGACCACATGGTTCCCTGAATAGCACTAGGAGACCCTGAACCACCACCAGGTGTGGCCACACAATAAACACTGGCTGAGAGAGATACTGCCTGTGGTTATCTGATTAAATTTCTAACTGAAACAAGATGAAAGGGTTTCCCAGGAACGTTGAATGGCAAAGGCTTTAGAGTTGAATGGACCTTAGGTTTACCCCTTTGCTCCACTTGTGCAAGTGACCCTGGGGGAACAGTATGAGGAGTAGAGCACCTGCCCTAAGAGAATGGTCACGGGTTCGGATCCTGTGACCCAAACATGCTCAGTGTGAGGCTGGCCGTTGCTGTTTGCGAGCACCGTGAGGGGTGACTGGTGAGCACTGGTGAGCACACCAGGGCCAGCAACCACGACCACAAGTAAGCGTGCAGGCTGCAACTAAAGCAGGGCTGAGCTCAGGGAGCACACAGCTAGCAACAGTACGGTGACAGGACGAAGGGCAGTGGAGAGCAGACAGAACCAACAGTGTTTATAAGAGGAAAGTGCTGGGGACCGGAGCAACAGCACAGCAGGCGCGGTACTTGCCCTGCACGCACACAGCTGACCCAGGTTTGATCTCTGGCATCCCTATGGTCCCCCAAGCCCCATCAGGAGTGAGCCCTGAGTGCTGCTGGCTATGACCCCCAAGCCGACAGCCCTGCCCCTTCCCAAAAAAGACCCCCAACAACCCCCATCTGGAACATGTCAAGCAGCCGTGCAGAGAGCAGCACAGGGAAGGGTCTAAGTAAGGGCTTAACCCCACTGGTGTCATGGAGCCCGGGCTTCACCCAACAGCCATCCGGAGCTGCTACTGTACTGGAGACGGAGACCGATGGGCAAAGAAAGCAGAGGGAGTGAAAGGGAAACTTTTATTAGAAAAAAAAAACAAGGAAAAGGAGAGGTCTCCGGGAAGAGCAGGTTAGTCCATCCGGGCCTTCAGTGTCCTGGTGGTGATTTTGTCCTTCTCACTGCAGAGGGAGAGAGTCACAAATGTCTCCACCCACCCAGGCTGAGACAAGGGGCTGGTCTGCTAAGCACAGTCATCAACCCCCACCCCGCCGCCCGCCTTGGGGAGAAGCAGTGAACTGAGGGGGGACCATCAAGAGTCCATCAAGATCCTTCAGGGCTGGCACTGAAGCCCTCCAAGGAAAGGGCTCAGAGAACAAGTCAGAGGAACCCAGCATGCAGCCTTCACCCCAGGGAACAGGACCGAGCCGTGGGGAGAGGATTCTGCAAGGCCATAAAAATTAATACTGTTGTAAATATACAGCTTAAACTAGAATGAAACAGAATCCTGGGGCCGAGGCAAAGCAACAGGGGCTTAAGGAGTCGGCCTTGCTTGTGAGGGAACAGAAGTTCAATCCCAGCCCTGCATTTGGTTCCCAAGACCACTAGGGGTCACTCCTGAGTCTACAGCCAGGAGTAGCTCCCCGCCCCCCCTCCCCCAATCCCACTAGGGCTCTCCAACACTCCTCACCCCACAAATTGCAAAATTTAAAAAAAAAAGAGGGGCTGGAGCGATAGCACCACGGGTAGGGTGTTTGCCTTGCACACGGCCAACCCAGGTTCGATTCCCAGCACCCCATATGGTCCCCCAAGCACCGCCAGGAGTAATTCCTGAGTGCATAGCCCAAGAGACAGTTCAGTGGGCTGGAGGCTTCGCATGCAGGAGGTGCAGGTTTGATCTCTAACACCCCAGGAGCAGCCCCAAGCATAGAGCTGGGGGTAGCTGTGAGTGGCCCCCAAACCAACCTTTCCCTGTCTCAGCCCCAGTGTATTTTCAGGGTGACTGAAGCTGGCTCTCCCTGTGCTTCTCCTGGGAGGAGATACTTCCTACTTCATCCTACCATGCCCCTTGCTGGTGCTAAGCCCAAATCAAAGAGGAACACAAAGGAGGTTTGTGTTGGGGACCTGCCCTGTTCCCAGGGCTCAGAACAACACAGTAGAGGGTTCGGGAAGGAGGTATGAGGGTCAGGGTGCAGCCCAGGATTCTAGCACCACCAAAAGCTCTGTGTCTCCCAGCCCCCGAGACTCTGGGGGACACTCCGGGAAGAAAAGAGCGCCTACTGTGCACAGGTGGGGCGGGGACTTGGGTGAGAGGGTCTCCTGGGTGGCTCCCTGCCCCTCAGTTTCTGCCTCCACTGCAGGCACTGCTCCCCAATCCCATGTGACCAGGGCGCTGGGGGGCGGGGGGCCATAAAACACCAGAATCCCCCAGCTCACTCACATGATATGGACGATGACCCCCATGCCCGACACGGCGTCCCGGTCCACGGCATTCAGCATGGCTTGTGAGATGGTCTCGAACAGGTGCTCTGGGTCCTGCGACAGAGAAGACACCATCAACTCCCAGCCTGGGCCCCAAATCCTGCCGGGCTCTTCGCCCACGTCTGGGCTCAGCCCAGCGTCCACTGCTTTGGCCACCCCGGACAACAGTGCCACTTCCCCGAGTGCCCTCGGGACTGGAAGCAGGGTACACAGGACAGTGAGCCAGAACTAGGCCCCAGCCCCCACCAGTAACGGCCCTCAGCCCAGCCTCTGTTCCCCTTTGGAAGGCCGCAGTTAGGCTGGGCTCTCCATCAGCTGTGGAGGTGCTGCCCTCTGGGGGTCCTACTAGTACCTCAACATGCGACCTGTGCACCCCCACCCCCAGGCCTGCTCAGCCCGAAGGTGCCCCAGCCCTACCTCTCTCACACCAGGTTTGAACCCCAGGTCTCACATAAGGCCCCCAGACCACGAATCAGACCCCCATTCCCAACTCACCCCCAACCACTCCCCGGCCCCTCCCACCCAACACGGCATTTGCTCACAACCCCACCCCGCCTGCAGGTGACAGCAGCAGCCTGCCTGCCAGGCCAAAGGAAAAAGTGCCCCCAGCTGGGTATGGCGTTCCAGGCCATTCCACACCTTGGGCCAGTCTCTGCTGGTCATCACCGCCACTCCTGTGTGCACTCCCCGGAGTACAGGCCAGTCCGGCCCTTTCTGTCCTCTCCCTGCCAGGCTGCCTCCAGGGAGCTCCAACACAGGCGCTCTCGTGCCCCCAGTCTCCTCACTAAGCCGCTCTACAGCAGGTCCCCCCGAGCTCCCCACAAGGAAACAGGCCCAGAGAAGCTCGGTTCCCCCGCAGATCACGTGGTGCGGGCCGCTCTGAGCAGCTACCTCTGTCCCTACACGAAGGGACGGGGAGAGGGGGATCTTCTCCCCAGGAGCCAGCCTGGTGCACCAAGATCCCAGCACATGGGGTTGCCCGGCACTGTCCCAGGTTGGGCAGTGGGGGCCTTTCCAGTCCCTGCCAACCATGGGATCCGGCCCACGCCGGGCCACCAACTCACCATGTCCGGCTCCCAGAGCGACTCACACATCCCGTACATTTGTTCGGAACAGGTACCACTGACCACGAAGTCGTCCGTCACCATGGGGCAGCCAATGAGGTCAAGAGAGCAGATGAAGGGCTGAAAGGTCTTCGGGTCCAGTCCAGCGATGACAGGCTCCGTGTAGTAGGGACCGAACCTGTGGGCGCCAGAAGCAGGGGAAGGGCCGGATCTCAGGGACACGCACCGTCCTGGTCATGATGACAGAGAGGCCCCACACAGATCTGGGGGCACCTGGAGAACTGGCCTGGGAAGACTCCCCGCACGCCCACCCCACCCCAACTTTTCTTTTGGGTGCCAGGGATCAAACCACAGGTCTCAGCCTGCAAAGAAAGAACTGGAACTCTTGGTACTAGATGCAGCCTCGAAGGGCTTAATCCTGAACTACAGCTTCGTAAAAACAAATGATCCTGGGAAGGAGAGATTGCATAGTGGGTTTCAAGAGTTCCCCAAAACAGGGGCCCAAGAGATAGTACAGTGGGCAGGGTGCCTCATAAATATCCCCCAGAACATAAATAACTTAAAGACTAAAATAACATAAAGACTGAAAAAAAAGGGGAAAAAAAGGGTCAGAGCAATGGTATAGCGGGTGGAGCACCTGCCTTACATGCAGCAGACCTGGGTTCGATTCTCAGCACCACGTATGGTCCCTCCCAAGCCTGCCTGAATTGATCCCTGAGCAGAGTCAGGAGTAAGCCCTGAGCACCCTCTGATGCAGACCAAAAAAAAAAAATTTTTTTTAAAATTTTATAAAATAAAAAAGAATCTTCCAACTCAACAGGCCCAGCATAGGCTTTGTAGGCAGGAGGCCCACATCAGACCTGGCACCTGGCAGAGAGAATGGACAGAAACGAACAGACCCCATTCCTAAGCTCTAGGTAATTCCATGACATCTCTGGCCAAGCAAAGGTTCCGGCCGCCACAGGCTGCATCCCGGCACCCGGCACTCACCGCTTCTCGTACAGGAGGTTGGCCACCATGCTCATGAGGGTGTAGGGCTTGATCTGCCGCCCTTCCTTCAGCTCATACAGGTTCAATCGGAACTTGAGGCGCTGAGCGCTGTGGTGGGAGAAAAGCACAGGAGCAAGTCATCACTCAATGTGCCCAGGAGGAAGTGGGAGACCCCAGCCCAGCCTCTGCCCACATGCCTCAGGGCCTTTCCCAGGAGCCTGGGCTGACCAGTACGGATCACGACCAAACAAGCCTTGGCTTACTCTCAACCCACACTTTTCCTTAAGGGGAGGAAAATGAAGTTAAAGCAGTGAATTCTTGGGGACTGGAGCAATAGCATAGCGGGTAGGGCGTTTGCCTTGCACGTGACCAATCTGGGTTCGGTTCCCAACATCCCATATGGTCCCCCGCCAGGAGTCATTCCTGAGTGCAGAGCCAGGAGTAAATCCCTGTGCATCACCGGGTGTGACCCAAAAAGGAAAAAAAAAAAAGAAGTGAATTCTTCATCTCCTTTTTGGGGGGGTGGGTTGGGGTGGGGGAGTCACACCTGGAGAAGCTCCTGGGACCATATGGGATGCCGAGGATCAAACCAGGGTCAATCACGTGCAAAGCAAACACCCTACCTGCCGATATCTCTACAGCCTCTCTGCCTCTTTTTTTTTTTTTTCCTTTTTTGGGTCACACCCGGTGATGCCCAGAGGTTACTCTTGGCTCTGCACTCAGGAATTACTCCTGGTGGTGTTCGGGGGACCATATGAGATGCTGGGAATCGAACCCGGTCGGTCGCGTGCAAGGCAAACACCCTATCCACTGTACTATAGTTCCAGCCCCTCTGGCTCTTTTTTGAGGAGTGAAATACACACTCAGGGCCAAGGAACAAGTCAGGGAGGGATTCAGGCACTGGCTTATCATACAGCTAGCCCCCAACACCACTTGCTCCCCCAAGCATTCCCAGGAGCTACTACTGAGCATTACTGATGTGGCTCCAAAGCCCACCCCACAAAAAAATTACTCATGCATAGCTCTAGGCTAAGACATGGCTCAAAGGATTAGAGTGCAAGTCTGGCCTGAGGTGGCCCTGGGTTTGATTCCTGGCACTATGTGGGAGACCTGCGCCCCCCAGGTCTGCACAGCCCCGTCTGGATCTTGTGGGGCCTATCTGCAGAAACACACATCTGCAGCTCACAGCTGGGAGTGCAGCGAACTGTGAGCTGGGCTGGGCTTGGCTTCTTCCTCCCACTGAATTTTTCCACCTGTTCACCGGGGACAAACTCAGTCACCTGGCGATGAGATAGCGTCTAGGTCTGTGGGAAGGCGCTTGGAAATCTGCAACTGTCTCCTGTGTGCTAATAAGTAGCAGCAGCTTCACTAATGGGCTGGCAGGTGCCTAAGAAACAGGCCACACCTCCTGCCCTGCCCTTTCCAGAGCCCGGGGGCCAGTCTCTGCAGGGAGCAGAGCAATGCCAGCCCTGGCAGAGGCATAGCCAGCCACAGGCCACCAGCACCGAAAGCCTCAGACACTACATTAGCTTCATCACTCAGGTGAGGAAACGAAGGCAAAGTGAGCAATGGCGGCTCTCAAGCAAATGAACCCAGTGAGCAACGGGTCCCTGAAGGACAGGGACGGCCTGGGTGCTGGCAAGTCTTCTGCGACCCGCTCCTGATTCCACCAGCAGTGCCCACGGGGCTGCTGGGGCCTGGGAGGAATTTCAACCTGCTCTGTTTTGGAGACTGAGGATCTTAAAGGAAACAGAATGTTGATCCGCTTCCAGGCACATTAGCAAACTCGTTTCTCACGCTTTTCAGGAAGAAGCCCAGGCCCTGCTGCTCCCCAGGCCACCAGCATCCCACTGGCCCTGCTACCTGGGACCGTTTCTCCCACCTGGTAAAAGGCCAGCCCCAGTCTCTCCCTCTTCTCTGGCCTCCATTCCTCCCCCACTGGACACCCAGTTCAGCTCCTAGATGCCCTCTCTTCTCAGTGAGTAAGAATGGACTTATTCTTTCTCTCCAGAACACTGCCAGGCTTTACCAGGCCTAAGACATAATTCCAAGACCCCAGTGACTCACATGATGTTTCTACCTGGCATGTCTTGTCTCCTCAAACTAGTGTCAAAAGTCAACATCACAAGATTTCCCCTAGAACTAATCTCAGGGCACAGGTTTGAGATGCCTGGCACCAAAACGAAATAAAACTCCTCCTCCAAGTCCTTTTAAAAATTTGTTTTGGGGAGGCGGGGTTGCAGGGAGTCATTTGGGCCACATCTGTTGGTGTGCCAGGGTCTCACCCAGCAGGGGACCATGCTGTGTTGGGGCTCAAACGCCCAGGCCTTCAGCATGTAAGGCGTCTGCCCCAATCCTGTTGAACTCTCTGGTGATCCCTAATTCCTACGTTGTGCTCAATATCCTCAAATCAGAAATAACCTTGAGCCAGAGAGATAGTACAGTGGGAAGGGTGTTTGCCTTGCAGGCAACTGACCTAGATTTGGATTCCTCGCACCCCATATAGTCTCAGGTTCACCAGGAATAATCCCTGAGCACCACTGCATGTGGCCCCAAAACAGAAACCCAGAAATCCTTAAAATATCTCAAACTGAGAAGCCAGCTAAAAGGGCTGTAACAGCAAGACCTGCATGAGCCCCACATTTGACCCTGGTACTTGCATGGTGCCCCCTAAGCACACTAGGCGTTGCTCAAAAGCCAAAAGCAAAGAAACAAAAACCATTTCTGAATCACCTACATGCCTTGCACTACCTATGAGGAACAGTTCAAAGGATGCAGAGCCAGACCAGTAACCAGCAAGGTTACCAGCTTCCCAATATCCAGGTAGCCACAAGAACCCTCAGAAAATGGCCCTGTCATCCCCTTCCTCCACTGTGCCCCCACTACTGGGGGCCACCACCACAGCTCTCTAGTTAATCTCTCAGAAGCCCTCTTTCCTAGTGGACAAACAGGTGCCAGGTCATCATGGGTTAAGTCCGTCTTTCCAGTGCTTGTTTCCCAAGCAGTTCAGCCATGCTTAGGGACTGAACATCGGCTAGGGCCCTGGAGACACCTGTGCCCGGATTCTGGCTGGTTCCACCAGTGGCCTGGGCAATGGGTTCCTGGCACCTTCAAGCTTCCTCATTTGCAAAATGGGACATCAACCTGGCACTGTCCGGGAAAGAATGGAACTCACCGGAGAAGCTGGCACCAAGCAAACGAAGGTAAAAGGTGGTTAGGATACAGCTCTGTTTCACTTTGGGGGTTCCCAGCCACGTCAGCCTCACTGGGGCTGATTCTAACACAGGATCGGGGCAATCTCTGACTGCCCAGGTCACTCCAGTACTAGGCAACGATGGTCCAAGAAAAGGTCGGGATGTGGGCGGGGACCCTCCCAACTTACACGGTCTGGACGTCGGTGGCAAGCCCGGCCAGGCCGATGTAAAGCCGGTCGCCCATGGGAAAGATCTTCTGGAAGTCCGTAGTCACCATCTGGGCCTGGATCCCGAAGCGCCTGTCGGCAGCGATGGCCACACAGTTCTTGCCCTTCATGGCCATGACGGCCCCTCCGTTATAGGACATAATAGACTGGGCAGACAGAGTGGAGGGGAGCTCAGCGTCAAGGGCCAAACTCGGCCGGAGCCCCCCGCCCAGCCCCTCATGGATCTGCACGCATCCTCCTCCACTCCGGAGGGCGCCTGGATGCTAAAACTCCGGTCCGGGAAGTGCCCCAGTGCCAGTCCACCCCCGTCCTCACGGCGGTCCGCTCCCCTTCAACCAGGCGCTCTCCGCCTGCCAAGCTTCCACGACTCCCCGCACCCCGTTCCTCAATCCCTCCCTGGTGTCGCAGCTTCTCGAATCTCCCAACTCACCATGCTTGCGGTGTATTATAGGGACCCACGATCGCCGCAATTACTACCAAGCGGCTCAGATCCGCACTTGCACAACCGCTCTCGCTGCTCGCTCTCCTTAGGCAGAGAGGCTAGCCCTTCCGGTATATTGTGGCTTTTTATTGGCTGTGCGGCCCCGTCAATCAACAGCAGCAGAGGTTTGGTTGAGAAGGCAAAACCCTAAGTGGGAAAGTGAAAAGTCACCGTGAGTGCGGAAGCGCCCGGCGGCGCGGTGCACGCCGGGACGTCGGAGGACTGGATCTCGGGCCCGCGGGGATGGGAGGCGGGGCCTACACGCACGTGGGCAGGTGAAGCTGCCGGCGCTGGGCTCTGCCCCCAGCTGTGCTTGTCTACCGTATTCCTCACATTAGCTTGTTTTGATTTTTTTTTTTCCAATCCAGAAATCCTTACATTAGTCGCGTGTCGGGCAAGATGAGAGTCTCCGGTCATTCCCTGCCTAGGACGATGTGTGATGTTTAGGAGGTGCCCTTAAAGGGCTTATTTAACAATACGGAGCGAGGAGCGGGAATCGGGAGGGCGTGCGGATGTGCTCCGTCTGCAGGGGTTCAGCTGAGAGGGGTAGGTTTGCAGGCCGAGGCTGATTCTGTTTTGGGGGGACTTCCAGCAATTCCACTTCACGAATACCCGTCTCAGATCACCTTCAAGAAGGGACATACCGGGCTCCCACCGGCCCGGCTAAGATTCCGGGCGCGGCCCCCACCCCTCCTGGATCCTGTCAGAACGGCGTGTGGGATTCTTCCCTGCCCGCGGCGGCGCCCGCTGCTACCCTGCGCTGTGCACCGCAGTGGACTCGCTCCCATTGACTCAGCTCACCGCCGCACAAGCACTCGCCATCGTCTCTGTGGCGCAATCGGTTAGCGCGTTCGGCTGTTAACCGAAAGGTTGGTGGTTCGAGCCCACCCAGGGACGGAAGTTTTTCTACCCCCCCACCCCTACTTAAAAGGGAGAGAAAGGGAATCCTCTAAACCTTAATCTCCCACGTCCAGCAGCTAAACATCCGAATTTTGTGTTGAAATCGCAGAGAGAACACTTTTTCTCCTTAGCAAATCAGAGAGTCATTGTGATGAAAACAGGTTGAATTTCGATCCATGATGGGTTGATTTCAGTTCAATCCACCAGCCGGTCCCTCTTCCATCACACCCACCTCCCCCTCAAGCCCGCCCAAACTGGGTTGCTGGAAAGGTAGAGGTTTTTGTCTTATAGTGCAATTCCTTTCAGGTTGCTTTCCTCTCCTCTGCCCACCCCCCACCCCCACCCCCGGCCCTTTTATGGGTTTGAGAATAAATTTAGAGCGGAGTTTGAACAGTTCCCCATTGTCTGCCTGAAACGTTGTTAAGAACATAGTTGCAATCACGAAATGTATTTGTTGCAGAAGAAAGTAGATAGAGACTAAGGTGGAGCTAAAGCTAAACCCGAATAAAGAAGGTTAGAAAGGAGACTACAGCTCTGTGACAGACAGATAGAAAGGGAAGGGGTCAGACCTCGGTGAGTGAGGGGCAAGCAAGACCCTGAGAAAATGGGGAGCCTCAAGACAGAATGACCAACTGAAACGCTCCCAGATACACACATGCGGAAGCTGGCAGGAAGATGAGGAATATGGAGACTGACCAAGCACATGGTTTAGGAGAAGAAAGGACCCCGCAGGAACACAGACATTTCATGATCATTCCCCCCACTGCCATATACCAGTGGGTCCTATCCTCCATGGAGAGCTCATGTCCCAGGACTCTGTGTAGGAAGGAGTTAATGACCTCAATGTTGGGGCATCTTTCCTTCCTGGGGCTTCTAGTCCGATGGGCATCTAAGGAGGTATGTACCTAGGCACTGTGAGCACGGGAACCTCTTTCTTCTGTTGGTGAAGTCTGCCAACTTATCATATCATGCAATATGATATCATGCAATATCATCTCTCAGGTAATTCCCTCAGTGACTGGTCTCTCCTCCAGATGGGACTCAAGAGACCTCTACCCAAACGTATTTTCATCACAAAATCACAGAAGCCTCTTCCCCAACGCTTCCCAGTGCTCACCTACCCTCACCTGGCATCATGGTGCCATAGGATCTCAGAGAACAGAGCCCCTTGGGCAAAAGCCAGCCTTAATTGCAGGGCATAGAGTCAGGGTATGGCAGGAGTGGACACCTAGAATAGGTATGATTGCAAGGAAGTTTTAGAGGGGCGTTGGGGGTCTTCAACGAGGCGTCTTTATCTGTGGTTTGCATTTCCTAAATTGAAGAATGAATGGAGGGGTCCCCACACTCACCCAAGACTTTGGGAGACACTCCAGGATTAAAGGGCCACCACCACGGGGTCTCAAAGGAATGTTCACCCTCTTCCCTCACCCCCTTTCAGCCCCCAGGTCCCATGTGGATTGCGTTTGAGACCAGATCTTCCAGAAGCCCCTCCAGGTTCCTCTTGCTTCGGGACCTCAGGTGAGTGAGCGGCAGGCCAGGAGATCGGGCTGTTCTCTGAGGCAGGGTCAGAGGCAGATGCCCGTGTCCACGGCACAGGAAACCCACGTGCCCTAGGGTCAGTGGGCGTGCCCACTCCAAGAATGTGAGGGGGGGGAGCGATCTCCGGGTCTCGGGCATCCAGAAACAGGCCAGCAGGTGACCGGATCCCGCTCGGCCTTTCTGCAGCCGGTTCTCCAAACCCCCCTCTGAGCGGAAATCTCTCCCGCCCTTCCTCTTCCTCCCTACGTCCCGCTCGGCCCGTGCGGGCTGAAAGGCTGGAGCTGGGCTCCCTCGGGCCGCTGGCCAAAGGCTGAAAAGGTCCAGCCCCTGGTCCCCAGCCTCGGGTGGGCCGGGGCTGGGCAGGAGGCGGCGGCCGGGAGCGCGAGTCTGGGTCGGCTACAGTCCTAAATGGAACCACCCACCGCACTTAAAGGCGCTTCTGGCCGGATAATCGGGCCCTCTGGGGAGACCGACCCAGTGCCCATTCCCAATACCGAATCGCGAATCGGCGAATCGACCGCCCTAATAGGCAGGCTCTCCCGGCCGCGCTGTAACGCGGGATCGATCTGCTTGGCCGGCGCCAGCCTGGCGGGAGGCTCGGGGGGCGCGGGGTGGAGCCGGCGCGCACCGGCCGGTTTCCGCGGGCACCCAGTGCGGGCAGCGGTCCAGGCCGGCCCGGGCAGGGGGCGCGCGCTCCGGGCCCGCCGCCTCCGATTCACCCGTGGCTTCCCCATTGTGTGGGGCTGGCGGCATCCGAGGGGCGCGCGGGACCCCCGCCGCGCCGTGGTGGGGAGCGGGCCGGGAGCGTGGCCAGGCTCGCCGGACCTGCAGCCGCTCACGTTCCGGGAGCGTGGGCGAGAGTGAATGAAAATACCCCGGACGCGTGGCCGCAGGCGCGCTACCCGCTCGCCCCCACCCCCCCGGGGTCTTGGGGTCGCGGCCCCGAGCCACAGTCCAGCCCCGTCCGCGTTCCGGCGTCCGGCGGGTGCCCCGCCGAGGGGCCGCGGTGGTGGCCGGGGTGGGGGGCGCGCACAGAGCGGGGAGGAGCCCGTGTAGGAGAGCGCCGGCCCGGCGAGGACTCATCGTCCGGGGTCATCCGGGAAGGGTGAGAGGCCCCCGTCCTAGTCGCTGGATTTTTCAGGGGGGGGGGAGAGCGACGTAGGGTGGGGGAACCGCCGCGTCCGCTGCGCCCCCTTTCCTCTCCCCTCTCGGCAAACACCCCGAAGGAATGAGGTCACGTGGGTGAGGAGTGGGCGGGCCTACTCTAGTCTGGAGGAAAAAAGCCATTTTGTGCCCCCCCCCCGCGCGCGGCCCCTCCCCGCCCCGCCCCCTCCCACCCGCGCCGCTCGCACAAACTCCTTTCTTACCGCAGGTCGCTCCCCTCCCGCCGCCGGGGCGAGCCGCGCGGCTGCCGGCCCCCTCCCCTCCCTTCCCTCCCTCCCTCCCGCCCCCCCTCCCCGGGCCCCACCGGACCCCGAACCCAGGTAAGCGGGCGCGGGCTCCCCTCTCCCCGGCCCCCCGCGCCCCGGAGCCGCCGGGGCCCCGCGCTGGCCGCCCGCCGGCCGCCCCTGACCCCCGCGGCGCGCGGCCCCGGCCCGGCTCGCCCCGGCCGCCTTTCTGTCTCCCTTTTTCTCTCCCCTTTTCCCTTTCCTGCCTTCCAAGATGGCCGAAGTGGATTCCCCCCTAGAATGATTCGGCGTCTCCCGCGACCACCTCCTCTTTGTGCCGCAGCCCCTCAGAGCGTCGAGGGGGAGGGTCTCAGGGACTCGGCGCTGGGGTAGGGCTCTGCCCCCCCCCACTACCTAGTCCAGCCCTTCCCAGGAGACAGAGCAAGCCCCTGGCTCTGCCCGATCGCCCCGCTGGGGTCTTGGGGAGGGGTCGCGCTCTCCCGCTCCGGACCCCTGGGGGGGCTGCAGGCGGCGCGCCGCGCGGGGCACTCCGGGCTGGGAGACTCCGGGGGCCGGACGGGGGCGCCCTTTCCTGCCTGGCCCCTGCTCCTCGGCCACCTCCCCCCACCATCCCGGTTCCGGGCGGCCGGCCCCCACCCCCCACCTCGGCAGAGCCTCCCCCCCGGCGCACCCCTCCATGGGCCCCGCCGAAAGTTTGGCTCTCGGGAAGGTAGGAGCCGCCGCCGCTCTCGGTGCCCTTGATGCTCGGATTCCGGAGGGGGAGCGAGCTGGGAGATTAATGGAGCTTTTGCCCCCGTGGGAAGGCTGGGGCGGCCCGTTACCAGCACTGTCCAGTTAACCCACCTCCCCACGGCCTCCTGCTGCTACTTCCCAGGGTGAAACCTCGACCAATCTGACACCCCCTTCCGTCCAGCCTCCCCCCCCCATCCCGAGGGTCCCCATCAGCCCAGATTTGCTCCTGATGGCTGGAGGTGGTGGGGAGGGGGGCCTGCGGGTGGGGAAGTGGACTGTAAAAATGGGAGGGGGGGCTTGCTGCATCCCCCTGCTCTTTGTCTCCCAGAGAATCCCCCACCTCCGCTGCCCCAGTCTCTCCAGGGGTCCCTGACTCAGGGTGTGTGTGCCGGGAGGGGGCAGCTGGGCCTCCTCCTGGGGGCCTTCTTGCACTTTCTGCCTCTTCCTGAAACTCTCCTAATCCTCCCTCCGCTCTCCACTCTCCAGGGTGTCAGGACTTGGATACTGAGCAAAAAGCCAGTTCTGTTCCAGGTTTTTTTCTTTTTTTGGTGGGGAGATTTTCCCTGGGGTTCCCCTCTTTGGTGTGGGGCAGGTGGTGGGGTGGAAGCCTGAGAACTGGTTTTGGAATGAGGCAGGAAACAGACCCCTAGCCCCCGTGTGGTGTGTGTGTGGCTAGAAGGGCTTCAAGTTGAAGTCTTGGGGGAAGGATGGGCTGACAGGGAAGGCTCTCTGATGCCCCTGGGCTTGCCCCCTGGAGATGGTGGGTGATGGAGCTGTTGCCATGGGAACGGAGAGCTGCCTGAGCAGGAAGAGGTCAGATGCCCGGCCCACTCCTCCAGCCCCTGGCCCCCAGAGTGGAGGTTGCCCGCCGCCGCACTGCCTTTGTTGCTGGAAGACGTATGTTCTCATGTGCCCTGGTGGACCAGGGATGCACAAAAGGTTAGTGTGTGTGCCACGGTGGCTGCAGGCAGGGCTGTGGGGCTGCCCCGGAGCAGGCGGGCAGCCTGTGCATCTGGCAAGGGGGCCTGGCACGGGGCCGGCTGTCAGCGTGACGGGTTGTGTCTGGCCAGGGCGTCTGTGTGTGTCTCTGGCCAAGTGTCTGTGTGTGTGTGTGTGTGTGTGTGTGTGTGTGTGTGTGTGGTGGGAGAGAGGTGGAAGGGGTGTGTCTCAGCGTGCACGTGGCGGCTGTGAAGCTGTGTGTGTTTTGGGGGTCTTGTCTTTGATCAGAACTGGGAGAGGTGGAGCAGGGCAGGATGATGGACTGTCAGGAAACGAGAAGACCCTAGGATCACATTCTTAACTCAGAGTCAGGGAGCAAGGTAGGGGTACCCAGGATGACCTCAGTGCCCCTCACCTCCCCCCCAACACAACACAACTGGGGGGCGTGGCCTCTCAGAACAGTGCCCTCTGGCTCACTACCTCCATGGAGCCTCAGTTCCCCTCTTGTGTACTGGAGCCGCTGCCTCCTCTTCTGTCTTCAGGGGGAGGTAGTGTGCTATTGGCGGGCATCCTCCCCTACCTGCAGCCTGCCTCAACCAGCTCTTGGGGGTCCTTTGATGGGGAGACAGCTTGTCTGGGTGGCAAGGTGAGGAGCATGGGATGGGAGTCAGCAGCTTCTGTCTCTGGGTGACGAGGTGAGGAGCACTGCGGTGGGGGTCAGTGGGGAGCAGGTGCGGCTTCTATCTGTTGTCATACGGCCTCTTAGACAAGTCACTCCTTTTGGTGTTTGTTTTGGTTTTTGTCTTGGGGCACACTTGGCATTGCTTAGGGTTTACACCTGGCTCTGCACTCAGGTGCTCAGGGGTACCTTATGGGATGTCAGGGATTGAACCCAGGTCAGGTTCGTGCAAGGCAAGTGCCCTCCCTGCTGTACTGTCGGTCTGGCCAAGTCACTTCCTCCTGGGCTCCTTTCACCCAGCTTGCAAGACTTGGACGAGATGCTTTTGAAGACTGCTTTACCTCCGCGGTTTCGAGATGTGCATGTGACCTTCCCCGAGCCCTTGAGTGCCTTTCCCCAAGACTTGGGGGTGTTCTAGAGAGGCAGGTGGGCTGTGTCCCCTGGGGCTGGAGGGGGCCGCAGAGACCGCATTCCCCGGTGGACCCTGCAGGGGAAAGTGAAGAAAGATTTCTCTTCCAGGAGAGGAGATTCAGGGTGGTCCCTCTCAGTGGGGGACTTGGAGGGGGGGGTGAAGCTGCCAGGCTTGAATGGCAGGAGGAGTTGGAATGGGCACTGTGCCCAGCAGGCCCTGGGCGGCCTGCAGCAGAGACCCAGCTTGCAGACCGTAGTTGGCACATGCACACAGGCCCCTTGGAAGAAAGAGTCAGGATGAAAGAAGACGGCTCACAGGCCCAGGGGTGCTGTAGTTGGGACTGACCCTTTATGGTACCCAGAGCTCCACTTCCCACTGGTTCTTCTACCATGATGAGCCTTCGTCACCTCGCTTCCCTCTTCTGCCGCCCAAAACAGCTGCCAGTTGCAGCTGGGGAGGAAGGAATTGGGTGTCTGGTATGCGGGCCTTCGTGGGTGGGGGAGGGGGAGGGGAGCAGTGGTGGGGTACAGAGCTTCTGTTTACAGTTTTTCTTGGCACCTGCCTGCAGGTAACCATGGTAACCAGGTGAGAGCCAATCAGTGCAGCCCCAGAGGTACTGGCTTGGCCCCTGGAGATGCTGGGGGGAGCTGAGAATGTTGCAAGGGGCTTCTTTGTTTGTTTGTTTGTGGGGAGGGGCACTGGTGATGCTCAGGGGTTATTCTTTCCGCTGTACTCAAGATTCATTCCTGACGGTGCTGGGGGGCAGGGTGGGAGGGCAGATAGGATCAAACCCAGGGTCAGCACATGTGAGGCAAGTGCCCTACCTGTTGTGCTAGCTCTCCAGCCCCAGGGGCTTCTTCGGGGGTAAGAGGAGGACTTTGGGGGAGGGCTGTCTCCTCAGCAGTCTCGGGGGCTCCTTGTGGGGCAGGGATCGAACGATTGAACTCAGGGCCTCCAAATGCCAGCATATACCCCAGCCCTCTCTGAGGGGGCTGCCTCCGCCCAGGCCTAGAGAGCTTGGAGGACTGATTGATTCCAGATGGGTGCGCGGTGAGCGGCCCTCCGCTGCTCCTGCACGTCGGGCCACCCCTGCCTGGACCTGAATCGAGTGCTTCTTTGTTTGGTGGCCACACCCGCGACGGTGCTCAGAGCTCACTCCTGGCTCTGTGCTCAGGGGGTCACTCACTCCTGGCAGTGTTCAGGGGACCGTCTGGCACCAGGGCTTGGGCCCGGGTCGGCTGCATGCAAGGCCAGTGCCTTAATCCTTGTCCTATTCTCTGGGGCCTATTTGGAAACAGCCAGTGTGGAAAGTGGATGAGGCCAAGAGAAGCCTCAGCGAGCGTGTCACAAGACACGTGTGTGAGGGAGAGGCTGGGGGGCCGGCACTTCGGGGCCCTGATCCCTGCCCCATCAGGCACATGGGCTTGGTTTCCAGCTGTGCCTGCCCCTCAGACCTCTCTTGTACACGGGCAGGCACAGGGGGTACGAGGTGACATCAAGCACGCGCGTGTGCGCACACACACACACACACACGGTGTGTCAGCCGGACACTGCACGCAGGCAAGACAGCCACTGGGATGTGTTTGCTCCTCAGGGTGGTTGTAGTGAAATCTGGGCCTCTTGCCAGGGGTAGGTTGCCATGGAAACAGCCAAACAGTGGAGTAACCCACAAGCGTTCTGCGTAATTGTGAAGGGGGGACCCCGGCAGGGAGGGGTGGTGAGGCCGCCGTTTGGGGGGACAGGACCCCCCCCTTCTTTCCTCTGGCTGGGTCTGCGCACTCTGTCTGTCTGGCCCTTGTGTGGCTCCATCTCCCAGTCTCTGGCCGGGCTCCAGCCAGACTCATCCCAGGGTCTCTATAGAAACTGCTGATCCCGGCGGTGAATTTCTGGTCCTAGAAAACCCAATGTGGCAGCTTTAGAAATCTTTCTGGCGCAGGGAGGAGGGTGGGTGTTGTAAAGGCGCCTTCCAAGTCCCAGCCCTCAGGCAGGCCCTTGGGAAAGAGGGGGGGTTCAGGGGAGCTGGGCCTGGCAGGGATGGGTGGGGCTGGGGGCGCAGCTCCATGAGCAGGTCCCAGAGTCTGCAGTGTGACTGCCCGGGCACAGGTCACAGCGGCGTCCCCAGGTAGGTGATGGTGGGCGGTGGGCGGTGGCCGAGCCCCTGGAGAAAATTGGTGAGAGGGCCCTAGAACATGCTGGGGGCAGTCCCTCTGCTGGCTCCCAGCCACGAGCATGGGGGACTTGTGGGCTCCCCGCTCTGGGTTCCCCACGGGACCCCGCTGTATCTCACCTGAGCAGCAGGCCTGGAGACCGCCTGGTCAGCACCCAGTGGGTTTGCAAGAGTCGCTTCACATGCAGAGTGTCCAAATGGGGTCCCCCTTTCCCAAAAGGTGGCCATACCCCCGACAGAGAGAGAAGCTTTATGACAGGCTCTTGGTCCCAAGCTCAAACCTGTTTCTCTTCCCTTCCCTGCCTCTGTGTGTCCTCTGAGCTTTGGGTGGGGGGGTGGGGACTTTCTCTGGTCTCCTCTCTGACCTCTGCCTTTCTCCTGCCCAGAGCCCGGCCTAGGGCTCTAGGGTGGGTAGGCCCAGGGAAGGGCCTTGGGTTTTGGGAGAGAGTATCTTGGGGGGTCCGGCTCCAGGTTCCTGGGTTTCTGATTTCTGCTTTCATTTCCCAGGGTGACGCTCCCCAGCCCCCCGCCCCCCCACCCCGGCATCATGCATCGGACCACACGGATCAAAATCACGGAGCTGAACCCCCATCTCATGTGTGCCCTCTGTGGGGGCTACTTCATTGACGCCACCACCATCGTGGAGTGTTTGCATTCCTGTGAGTGGGAGTGGGGGCAGGGGGTCCCAGCAAGCAGCCTGGGAGGGCCAGCCAGAGGTGGTCACGCTGAAGTTGCTTCGGGGATTCAGGGCTGAAACTGCGTCATCATCCCCCTACCCCAGAATCTCTGTAACTAAAGGGCCTCTCTGCCGCCCCCCCATGTTTGGGGGACCTTGTTGGCAGAGGGCCGGGGGCCTGGGAGGGGTCTAGGAAGGGGCCGGGACTCGGGGCTCCCCATGGGCCCGACATCTTGACCCGAGGTGCATCTGTACTCGCAGTCATAGGTCGTCCTTCCCCCAGCAGGGCCCAGTGGCACCTACCCCCCCGGGTGTGGAGGGTTGGGGTTCTCCTAGTCATGGGGGGCCCTTGATCTTCCACCTCCCCCACAGTCTGCAAGACCTGCATCGTGCGCTACCTGGAGACCAACAAGTACTGCCCCATGTGCGACGTGCAGGTGCACAAGACGCGGCCGCTGCTGAGCATCAGGTGGGCGAGCGCAGCCCCCCTGGCCAGCTGTCCTGCTGCCTTCCTGGCCCCGTATCCCTCTCCCTTGCCCCCAGCCCCTGCCCCCCGTCCCTCTCCCTGCTGTCCCTGCCCCACTGCCCTTCTCCCCTGCTATCCCTTGACCCCTGTTGCTCTCTGAGCCATGGGATGCAGGAGGGAGGTGGGAGGTGGGCCCCAGGTGGGTCAGAGTTGGGGGTCGGGGGGAGCTGCTGACAGACCCCCATTTTGTTTTCCAGGTCTGACAAAACTCTCCAAGACATCGTCTACAAGCTGGTCCCCGGGCTTTTCAAAGGTGCCCCCCTCTCCTCCCACCCCAGCCCCCCACACCCCAGCCCCTCGCCCCTTCCTCACCCTGCTTCACTCCTACAGATGAGATGAAGCGGCGACGGGACTTCTACGCGGCTTATCCGCTGACGGAAGGTGGGCGTGTGCGCGGGGAGGGGGCGGTAGGGGGGGCACCCCTCCACACACTGCGAAGCCGCACATCTGGGTCTGTGTGTCTGTGTCTGTGTGTGTGGTAGCTGCCCCCCCACGTGCCACGAGGCCAGCGCCCCAGCCCCGTTCCTCTCCCGCAGTCCCCAACGGCTCCAATGAGGACCGCGGTGAGGTCCTGGAGCAGGAGAAGGGGGCCCTGAGCGATGACGAGATCGTCAGCCTCTCCATTGAGTTCTACGAAGGTGCCAGGCAAGTCGGACCCTGCCCAGCCTTCCGGGGTCCCAGTCGGGTGGCCTCCTTGCACCTCTCGCCTGGTCCCACTCCCCTGGCAGGAGATGGTCTGAGGGTGGCACTTCCGGATGTGGGGGGAGATTCCCACTGCGGAGGGGGGAGGGAAGCTCCCTCACTTTGTCCTTTTCCTCTCCTGCAGGGACCGGGAGGAGAAGAAGGGCCCCCTGGAGAATGGCGACGGGGACAAGGAGAAGGTGGGGCAGGGCTGGTCGAGGAGTGGGGATGAGGTGGGAGAGAGCGCCAGGACAAACCCCAGTCCTTGGGTGCCTGTCCCCTGCAGACAGGGGTGCGCTTCCTGCGGTGCCCGGCAGCCATGACCGTCATGCATCTTGCCAAGTTCCTGCGCAACAAGATGGACGTGCCCAGCAAGTACAAGGTTGGTCCTGGCCTCCCAACACCCCCACATGTCGCTGCCCAGGGTCCATATGCTTCCCATGGAGCCAGGGGAAAGAGTCCCTGGGACCAGCAAGGGGTGCAGCCAAGGCCCAGACCTGGCTCTGCTGAAGAGACACTGTCCTGACCGTCCCGCTGGAGCAATAGCACAGTGGGTAGGGCATTTTGCCTTGCACGCAGCTGACCCCAGTTCGATTCCCAGCATCCCATATGATCCCCTGAGCACCGCCAGGAGTAATTCCTGAGTGCATGAGCCAGGAGTAACTGTGCATCGCCGGGTGTAACACAAAAAGAAAGAAAGAAAGTGCACAGGAGTGTCAGGATGTCGTTTCTCAGACATTACCGCCTCTGGGATCCTTAGAGGCCTCACTAGAATGTAGATTAATCTCACCGATAGACCATTTCTAGCACTCGCCACACTCCAAGGACCGGGGCTCTAGCATCGAGGGTCTCCAGCTCTGCCACATCAGAGTCATATGGGGACCGGGGGGTAGGCAGGGGTGCAGAGAGAGCACCGTTCAAATCTCTTGGCACCACATATGGTCCCCTAATCGCTGCCAGGGGTTACTCCTGAGCACTGCTGGATGTGACCCAAACCTTCCCTGCCCCTGCAAAAAAACAAAAGTCTATTCATGAGGATGAGTCGCTTGGTACTGACCTTGCATTACGAGGCCCTGCCTGCTACAAACAACTCACATTATAACTCAGTCACAGCAGTCCAATCTGAATCTGTGATCCACGCATTGTTTTTTGACCAATTTTTTTGTTCTTTTTGGGTCACAGCCAGTGATGCACAGGGGTTACTCCTGGTGGTGCTTGGGGGACCATATGGGATGCTGGGAATCGAACCTGGGTCAGCTGCGTGCAAGGCAAATGCCCTACCTGCTGTGCTATTGCTCCAGTCCCGACCAATTTTTTTTTTAAGTTGAATGATTCTGGGCCAGAGAGATAGTCCAGCAGGTAGGGCACTTGGTTGCTTTGGACATACATGATTACCTTGCACATGGCTGACTGGGGTTCAATTCCCCAGCACCTCAAGGCATTCAGGAATAAGCCCAAAGCATTGCTGGGTGTAGCCCCCAAAACCATAATAAACAAAAATTGGGTGAATCTACCCTGCACCAGGTGAGACTCAGAACTTCCAGATCCTTCTCACCTGAGCCTTCTGCCCATTAGCTCCCAGGGAGGCCTGTCAGTGCCAGCAGGGGGCACAGGCATTAAAGATACGGGCATTGCCTCAGAGTCACTTCCCACTGGGTGGTCAGTATTCCACTGGGACCACTAACAGGGCAAGTGTAATCTACCATGAAACCCCAGAATAGGGGCTGGAGACAGTGCAATGGGGAGGGCGCTTGCCTTGCACACAGCTCACCTGGGTTCGATTCCCAGCATCCCATTTGGTTCCCTGACCACTAGATGGAGTGATCCCTGAGTAGGCCCTGAGCATCACCAGGTATGGCCCCCCCAATATTTTTAAATTAAAAATATTTAAAAACCCAGAATAAGGAGAGACCCCAAAGTGCCCTCTCACCCCTGAACTCAGGGAGGATTGCGGCCTGTGTCTGGCTCCAGTCACGGTGTCGATGCTTTCCTGCCCCAGGTGGAGGTCCTGTATGAGGACGAGCCGCTGAAGGAGTACTACACGCTCATGGACATCGCCTACATCTACCCCTGGCGGCGGGTGAGGAGTGGGGGGGCACCCCTGCTCTAACCACAGTGCATCTCTGCACTGAGCTCAGCCTGTCCCAGTCTCTCCATGGAGACCTTCCACCCTCAGAGAAAAGGGCTCTTCGGAGAGGCCTGAGGGGCTGGAGCATGTGCTTGGCATGCGGGAGCCCTGGTTCTGATCCCTAGTACCCATGAGAGTGACTCCCTAGTACTGAGCCAGAAATAGGCCTCCCCCATTCCCTAAACACCCCTCCCCCAAAACAGGAAAGAAAAAGGATTCTCTGGCAGATTGCAAGTACCAGTTTGGGGACGGGAAAGGGGATCCCCCTGACTCTGGGTCTCTTCCCCAATCTCTGGCCTCCCAGAGTCTCGCCCTTGGGCCCCGTGTACCCAGCATCTCTAGGGGCCTATCTTGCCATGCTGAGCTAGCACCCCCCTTTCTCCCTGATGGGAACAGGGCAGTGAGGCTAGGGGCTTCCTCCTCAGCCTCTCTCTCCTCCCCGCTCCCTGCAGAACGGACCTCTCCCCCTCAAGTACCGCGTCCAGCCGGCCTGCAAGAGACTCTCCCTGCCCACTGCGCCCACAGCCTCCGAGGGCACCAACACCAGTGGGGCATCCGAGTGTGAGTCGGTCAGCGACAAGGCTCCCAGCCCCGCCACCCTGCCGGCCACCTCCTCCTCCCTGCCCAGCCCCGCCACCCCCTCCCATGGCTCTCCCAGCTCTCACGGCCCCCCGGCCACCCACCCTACCTCCCCCACTCCCACTTCCACTGCCAGTGGGGCCTCCACAGCCACTAATGGGGGCACCTCAAACTGCCTGCAGACACCATCCTCTACCAGCAGGGGGCGCAAGATGACTGTCAACGGAGCTCCTGTGCCCCCCTTAACTTGAAAGGGACTCTTTTTCTTCCCAGCCATGCCCCTTCACCCCTCCACTTTTTTCTGGGCCCCCTTTTCCACCTCTTCTATTTTCCCCAGCTCCTCCCACCTTAGGGGTGGGGGGTGGGTTTTATAAATAAATCTATATATATATGTACATAGGAAAAACCAAATATACATACTTATTTTCTATGGACCAGTCAGATTAATTTAAATGCCACAGGAAACAATATATGTGTGTGTGTATGTGTGGGGAACGGGGTGTTCAGTTTTAGGGGATCATGTATCAGGGGCTCTGCTCTCTTTTGGGGTCTGCCTGGCGAGGGGACTGGAGGGGTTCTGCGCTGTTTTCCCAGTTCCCAAGGCAGATGGGAGGCTGGGGGGCTTCAGAGCTCCCGGGTTACCACTCCAACTGGCTCTAGGTGCCATGAGGTCTTCCCTGTTCTCTCCCCATCCTGGTCACAGCCCTGCGGTGACCAGCGTGTCCCCTGGCCCCCATTGTTGAATGTCCCGAGTGTCACTCAGACAGTGCCTTCTGCAGAGGCAGTTCCCCCCTTGGGTCTGAGGGACAGCGGGCACCGGGGCTGCCGCCTCTGCTACCTCCCAGGCAGTGGGAACCTTGTACGGAGCAGATCATCCTGCCTTTGTGCGTGGCCTCTGTATCGTGCATCTCATGGAGGCCTTAGCCCTTGGCATTTCAGTGTCGTTTTAGGATTTGAACTATTTGCTTTGCCCCTTCCCAGTAACCCTCTGTCGCAGGGCTGGTGGGGAAATGTCACATGGAAACCGGCGGGGAGAGGCAGTGTGGGGTTTAATCCAAGACTGACACCGTCTCCAGGTTTTGCCAGAAGTATCACCTTCCCCCAGCCCCCTCCACCTCTAGCTGCTGTGGCCGAGACAGGAGGGCAGAGGCATCGTGGAAAGCACAAGAACCCGCCGGGCTGAGGTCACAGGAGTATCCCCTGTGGCCAGCCCCCACCCACCTGTCTCCTCCAGTGCACACAGCTCACCTCACGAGGAGGGGCAGAGTGTTTGGGGTGGGAACACCCCACGGCTTCCTAGGTCTTCACACCTTGTGCTATGTCTAAGGGTGCTGGGATTGAACTCCCTCCTGGCTTTGTAATAAACCCTGCGCACTCTCCCGCTTGGAGTTCTTCTTGGGAAAGGGTGGGGCAGGGATGGACTCCCGGCAGGGGCAGGAGGATGGCAGCTGTGGGAGAACCACTGGAATGAACCCGAGTTGGCTGCAGGGGCAGACCTAGATCAGTGCCAGGTGCCAAGGATCACAGGACTGCTCTGGGTGGGGGCAGGCACGTCTGTTTAATGCCAGGGGGTTACAGGCAGAAGGGTCCGGGGATGGCGGGCCACGTCTGGGGCTCCAGGCCCAGCTTCCTTCTCAGAAGGCAGCTGCTAAGGCCTCGGGGGCCCAGCCACAGGCCCCTCGTCATCCTCATAGAGTGGGGAGCCCACTGGGGTCTTCTGCACCCTCTCACTCCTGTGGGTGCCATCGCAGTAGGGCGGCTTCTGGGTGGCCTTGCAGGTGCAGAGGGCCACAGTGCGCGTCTCCTGGGCCTTGAACTTGAGTGGGAAGAGGCCCGTGTGTTGGAAGAAATGGGAACCGTCACAGAAAGGCTGATGAGGGAAGGAGACGGTGTGTCAGACCCCAGCCCACCTGCTGGGGGAGATGGGGGTTCAGAGCACCCCATAAAATACCCCTGCAGCATGATGGCACATGATGCACATCCCAGGCGGCTATTGTGCATCCTGAACACAAGTGCCCAGTGAGGGCCTTCACGGAGATGCCGCTGGGACCCACACCAGCACTCCAGAACTTTCTTTTGTTTGGGGGCCACGCCCAATGATGCTGAGGGTGGTGCTTGGGGGATCTGACAGAATGATGGGGATCGGACCCAGGTTGGTCATGTTTAAAGGCAGGTGCCCTCTGCACGGTACTATCTCTCCAGCCCCACCAAGAACTTGCGAGGCAAGATGAGCTCTTAGGTATCAGCAGTGTTGAGATGAGTGTTTCCCAGAGGGTGACTCGCCCCTGCAGGGGCACTGCGCCAAGAAGCCAGGGGTGTCTCCACGCAAAGAAGGTAAGTTACCAAGCACACAGAGAAATTCTTTCCTTTTATCCTTTTTTTTTTTTTTTTTTTTTTTTTACTGAAAATGGGGCAGTAGGTCAGATAAATTTGAGAAACTCTGGTTTAGACCAATCAAGTTTAGGTTGATTTTTTTTTTTTTTTGGTTTTTGGTTTTTTGGGCCATATCTGGCTGGGCTCAGGGTTTACTCCTAACTCTGTACTCAGGGACACACTTGGCGGGCCTGGAGGACTATATGGGATGCTGAGGAATGAACCTGTGCAAGATAAGTGCTCTGTACTATCTCTCCAGCGGCTGTTTTTGACTTCAGTGGCTCTGAGTTTCTACCGGCTCCTGACTCTGTTCCCTTTTTGGCTCATGTTCTCCAGAGTGGGTTGGAGAGCCCAACAGGGTGATGGACAGGCTCGCCCGAGAGAGGCCCGGGTTGATGCTCTGAGCATCATGCAGAAACCAAACATTTCTCAGGGTGGAGAGAGGACGGTATCCTCATGGTGCTTTCACACTGGGCTGTCCCTCTGCTTTAGTTCTGAGACACAACTGGGCTGGTTCTAGCGCGCGGCTCTGAGCAGCAGGCTGCCCGCTGTCCCCGCAGTGGTTCAGGCAGACTGGGTCACACACAAAGGGAAGCCCACAAAGGTGGCCTGGCTTGCTCATCCTGAGAGCAGGGGCCACTGGGCCACGGCCATCTGAGTGTAGGCTTGGGGCAGGCAGACGGGAGGCGTGCCCGCACTGCAGAGGGCGCAATGCAGAGCGACACTGTGCCCATGGTGCTTGCCCACACTTGGCTGGGTTCCCATGGCTCTGCCCATCCTCAGAAGGACCAGGTCAAAGTCCAGTTTGAGCGGGGGGCTGGAGATAGGGGACCCAGCTAGTAAGAATGTAGCAACACCGTTGCCTGATGGGAACTCCACTCAGGGAGGCCCTGGCCAGCTGCCTGCAGCCAGGAAAGTTCCAGACTGAGACAGGCAAGGAAAAGGGAGCCTGGGAACAGGAGTCCTGGGCCCACTGCCTGGTTGTGACTCAGTTCCTCTCTGGTCTCCTCTCCCAGGCTCCAGGGAGGTGCTGGCCTATGAATAGTATGTGGGTTTTTTTTTTTTTTTTTTTTTTTTGCAGTACCAGGACCACAAGGTAAGTGCTCTATCCCTGAGCTTGGGCCACCGGGGACGGTCCTTCACCCTCAGCCTCCCCTCCATGGGGAATGAAGAGACATCCGGCCAGGGGGCAGACCTGGGAAGGGGTGGGAAGGGGGCGGGGTCTCTCACCTGCTTCTTGCTGCGCCCACACACACACCACCTGTACGTCTTCCCAGCCACTAGCTCCACTTTGATGGGTGTTTTCAGGGCCACTACAGACTTGGCTGGGGTTTTGGGGAACCATCGGGCCTGTGGAGGGGAAGACAAGAGGCCGAAGGTCAACGCACACCCTGGAAACTTTCCTGCTGATGGCCTTGTCCAGCTGACCACTGGCCGTGGCTTACAGCAGGTTTCCTCGGGGCATCTCCCCAGGGCTGGAGTCCCAGATGGCACCGGGCTGCAGACTCTTCCTTCACAGCCCAGGGCCAGCGCTGTGCCCTGGCGTCCATCTCTCTCTCTCTCCCAATCTTGTCCCTAAGGAGGCTGGGAAGCCCGGCCTGGCCCTTTCCGGCTTGGGGACCACACCCAGGATCCGTGAGTGCGTGGGGACCACTCCTGGCAGGGAGCACTCTCCGGCCTGTGCTTTTCCGCTGGCTTTCGGCTTTTGGGTCCCGGTCTAACTGAGGCTGGGGGGAACTTGTGCAGAAAGAGGGGGAGAGCGGGGGCGACTTACCAGCCAGGAGAAAATGCCCCTCGTCTGGCTCAGCTCCTGCAAGGTCCCGCAGGCCCCGCGAGACCGCGGTTTGGAAAGAGAAAAACAAAATCAGTGGAACGCGGGGGGACTTCCAGGGCGGAGGCCTCGGGAGGGGACAGGGCGGGGGAGGAAAACCAGGGTAAGGAGCGGGGTGGGTCGGGTCATGAGAAGGGCACGGAGGGGGCTCGGGGGTGGGCCGCTCACCCAAGCCGCGGGCCGCAGGAGCGCCCCCACGCCGCGCATGCCGCCCCCTCGCCGCGCCGCGCCGCGCCGGCTCCGCCCCGCGCGCGGTCACCTTCGCGCGCCGCAGGCCCCGCCCCGCCCCGGCCCGGAAGCCGCAGTCCGGCCCGGCCCGGCCCGGCCCGGCGCGGGTGTGGCCGGACCCGGCGATGCGGCCCATCGCGTGCCCGCCTGGCCTTCCGTGGGCCTCCCCGCGCGGCGCGACTGGAAAATGTGAGAGGCCGCGGTCCCACCCCCAGCCCCGCGCCACCTCCCGCTCCCCTCAGTGCAGCCAGACAAAGCAGGATCTCTTTGGATTCTTTTTTTTGTTTGTTTTTTGTAAAACATTCTTTTATTAAAAGAACAAGTGCTGTTTACGAACTGCCCTTCGTACAAATGACATCCGTTATACAAAGATACAAGATCCGGGTTTATGCACAATCCGAGGCTTGGAGGCGGCGGGAGTGGGCATTGCCTTGGGGGCTGAGGATTTCAAAGTTTTTAGAAAGAACGGAGAAGCCCCCCACCCCACCCCACCCCCCCCTGCGCCCGGGAGTGGCCGGCCGCACCCCACCACCTCCCGTGCCCCCGTGCTACATGGAGACCTGGAGACCCGCGGCGGGGTGGCAGGGGATAGGGCAGGGCCCTCGGAGCTGAGGGCAGGGATTGCATCTCCAGGCCCTCCTCCGAGGTCCGGGTTGTTGGGACGAAGAAGTGGTCCAAGAGCAACCGAGGACCCACTTCCCTTCAGTCCCCAACTTTTCAGTAGATCAAGTCAAAGTGGCCTGGGACAGGCACACTTTGCGTCTGGGTTGATGTGACGAGTGGAAGTGACCGTAACCCAGGGGGTCACCTCTCCCCAGGAAAGTAAGTTAGGGTCCCGAAGAATCTGGGGACGCTGCCTCCCTTCTATGCCTGGCCTGCAAGCGGCACCCAAGGAAGGTGCTGGAAGCTGGCAGACGAGCCGGTGCCTGCCTTCGTTTCCAGTTTGGGACAAGAAGTGTGAAGTCACCCTTCCTCAGGGCTGACCCCCCAGGGGCTTCCCTTCCCACCCTGTCTCGGAACACTCCCCTAGAACTCAGCACAGGAGCGGGCGGGGTGCACCAGGGCACCCGGGAACCTGAGGGGGGAAATTCACACACAGAGAGGAAAGAAACCAACCAAACAGAAAGGCCACCTTTAAAGTGTCATTGTCAGGGGAGGGTGGGTCAGCTCGGAGCTGTGGCAGCTGTGCCCAGGCACCTGCCTGCCCCGGACACAGTTCTGCCCTCACATGCTGGGACACACGTGGACACACACGTGGACACACACAGGGATACCTGGCTGGTGGCTTGGAGCGAGGAGCAGGCTCAGACCGCCCCTGAAAGCTTGCCCCCCACCCCCAACCCTGCAGGCAGCCGCTCGAGGGGAGGGGAGGGTGCACCAGGCACCCAGGCCTTGTCACACCCCATGTCTTGCCCTGCAAACCACATCCTTCCCCTCCCCTAGACAGAGCTGCAAATCTGTGTCACTTCCCACGGTTTCCCCGCACTACTCCCCCCAAAGCTATGGTGCAGAGAGGGGGCTCAGTTTTGTCCCCCCCCCCAATGAAGGGGGCCTGCTCCCTCCTGGGGGGGAGATAGCAATCTTCCTCCCAGAGGCAATACCACTACCTCCCTTGTGCCCCCAGCCCCGGGGGAGGGACAGCACCAATCTAAACCAGCCTGGGCCCCTTCAAATCTCCCCTCACTACCTGCCACTGCACCCTGAGCCTGGGCAAAGCAGAACTCAGATTCTGGGAGATGAGAAGGGGGGGTGCGGGGAGGGGCAGCGTAGGGCTCGGTTCCAGTGCATGAAATCATTTGGAGCCCTCATCCTCTCCCCCTGATCCCACCCTTGGGGTGGGGGGCAGGGCACCCTCACCATCCAGAGCAGGAGCTGACTTTGGTTCTAAGTGGGCGGCCCTGGGCAAGGAGCAGCTCTTCTAAGCATGGAGGAAGGAAAGCTCCTTCGCAGTGGTTGCGGGTGGGGGCAGGGAGTTAGAGAGCGTTGAGAAGAAGATGCATAAAATGCTGCTGAAGTCTATCCTTTCTTCCTAACTGAGATTTTAGCATTAATAAAAAGTATGTCTGAGGTCATCACAACTGCCCCCCTCCCCCCACAGCCCTTGCGCGTGCCTAAGAAATTGCTTCTGCAGGAACCCCCCTCCCCCCGGCACAATCAGCTCCCTACTGTCTTACAAAGTCTTATCAACAGGAATATTAATATTATTTTCAGTATCAGAAAAAAACCAGTTGAGCAGCACAGGCAAAAATATATCTGCACTACGTTTCTGTCGTTGCCAAAAATAGACACATCTTCTTTTCTTTATTTAAAAAAAAAAGTAAGAAAACAAAAACCCACAACAAAAACCCAAACAGAAACACATGCGCGCGCGCACACACACACACACACACACACACACACACACACACACACAGGAAACCCACACATGCAGAGACAAACAAGACAAGAGCATCAGGGGAAGCCGGAAAAGCACCCGCCTGCCCACCCAGGCCCACTGCGGTGCCCGGTGCCTCCCAGACACAGGGCATCTGCCCATGCCCCACCCCGAAGCCTTTGTCACCAATGACTGTGGCCAGGTGGCAACTCAGGTGTGAGTTTGGGGGAGGGGGTGTTATTCCTGGTGGGAGAAGGGACAGCCAGGTGAAGCTTCTCTCTTCCCTGGTGAGCGAGGGTGAAGGTGGGATGTGGGAGGAAGGTTTACGCTAGAGAAAGTGGCACTTTACCCCCGACCTCCACCCAGTCCCCCAACCTCTGGAGCTCCCTGGTGCCAGGGAAACCACTCCCAGTGTGAGGAAGGAAGGACAGCCCAACCGAGGGGGCGCAGCAGGTGACCCAGTAGTGGAGGGGAGGCAGATACCCTGATTGGAAGCCCCCAGCCCTGTTTCTTCCACACTGGGGGCCTGCTCTGGTTTCCCTTGACCAGTCGTACCCCGGGAGGGGACCAGAGTTCAGTGAGGTGGGGAGAGGGTGAACAAGAGCTGAGGGCTCCCCACCTCGGCCGCTGCCGGGTCTGGGCTCGGCTCCCATCCCTGCGGCCCTCGATCCAGGGACACACAGACATACACGGACATGGACACACAGACGCACACGCTTGCTGAGTCAGGCAGCTTCATCTCTCCACCCTCTCGGCACTCCTAAACCCAATAGTGCAAACAAGGGGCAGCGCACGAGGGGGCTGGGCCTCCTCCCAGGGCCAACCTGCCCCTTCCTCAGGACCCTCACGGGAGGGTTTCCCACAAGCTCAGCTTGTGACCCTGGTTGGAGGGCGGGGGGTGGCGGGCCCTGCTGCTCTCGGCCCAGGCTGGGGAGGAACGGCCGTGAAGGAGGGCCCCATCTCCCCGGCTTGCCGGCCCCCCACTCCTTCCCATGCAAGTGCTGATCCATTTTGTGCGGCGGGTCCGACCAACCCCCCCACTTACGCCTTGGCCCACTTCTCTCTGGGGACCTCGAAACATTTTTGAGCACGGGTGCTCCTGGGGTGGGCTTGCGGCCTGTCCTCCCTCTGAGCCCCTCACGGAAGGGCCAGCAGGGGCAGGAGCTCTCCTCTCCGTCTGTCCTCAGGACTAGGAGCGCCCCATGTGCCCCAGGCTCTCCAGTGTCTGGGTGCGGGCCTGCTCTGGGCTGGGCCACCTCAGGCCAGGACGCGTCTCCTCCGTCGGGGAGTCAGGAGGTGAGGGCTTAGCCTTTCTCCTGGTTGGCTGACACTCCTTTGTCAGCGGTCTGCAAAGAGAGGAAGGCAGGCTGGGATCCCCTGTGCTGCAGGCCACATAAGAAACCCCACAGGGGGGACCATATGGGATGCCCCCCCACGGTCCCCTCGCCTGGCTTCTGGTGGGTGCAGACTGGGGTGAAGTGGGGAAAAGTCATCCAGAGCAGAGGGCCTGACTAGGTGGGCATCTTCCTGTTCTTTTTTTCTTTGGTTTTTGAGCCCAGGCAGTGCTCAGGGCTCACCCTTGGCAGGACTTGGGGGCCCCAAGGCGTTCTGGGTATAGAGCCCGGGTTGGCTGCCTGCAAGCAAGACCTTTACCCACTGTTCTATCTCTCGGAGCCCAGAGTGGGAATTTTCAAACCAGGCAGGCCTCGGGGATCCAGTATTAATCTCTAGCCCTGAGAGGGGGCATGCGACTGTGCAGACAGAGGCACCATGGCTAGTGGCTGCACCTGGGGAGGGAGAGCCGCCACCAGCATGGGTCTTCATGGAGGCAGGTGCCTTCTAACCTGGGGCCTTGACCCTGAGACCTCCTCAGCGCACATCTTTCTCAGCCTGGCAGGCTGGCCTCAGGGCCACTTGTGACCCTACCATCTGCTTGTGCGCTCTGCCCAGAGAAAAGGGGGACGGCTCGGCCTGATCTTACTCACCCCTCCTTTGGGGCCACTGCCACTGCCGTCCGCCCCCGACAGGCTGAGGAAGGGATTGGTCTGGGCAGTGAGGACCGGAGGTCCGCCCGCGGCTGCCACTGCTGCAGCCGCAGCTGCAGCGGCCATGAGACTTGTGTTGTTGCTGAGCGAAGGGGCCACCAGCGCCCCGGCGGGCAGCAGGGGTGGGGCCGATGCTGTGGGCAGCAGGCCAGGGGTGCCCGCAGACAGCAGCGGGGTGGAGCTTCCGGCCAGCAGGCTGGCCATGGGCAGCTGGGAGCCCCCGGCCATCTGCAGTCGCTGCAGCTCCCGCTTCTGCTGCTGGATCTGCTGGATCATCTGGTAGACAACGGTCTGGTGTTCCTGCAAGGACCCAGAGTCAGGGCTGGGGTCCCAGAGGTGGGGGCCTAGGCAGACACCCGCCCTCCCCCAGACATATCCAGCTTCGTGTTTTGGCTTTGTTCTGGAGCCACAGCGGCAGTGCTCAGGGATCACTCCTGACTCTGCACTAAGGGATCGCACCTGGCAGGCTCGGGGGACCATAAGGGATGCCAGGGATCAAACCGGGGTGAGCTGCATGCAAGGCGAGTGCCCAACCCGCTGCACTATTGCTCCGGCCCCTGGGGCATGTCCGTCCACCTTCGGCCTCTACCTTCCCTCTGTGCCTCAGCCTGGCCAGGAAAGTGGTACCCTGGCGGGTGTCCACTCCCCGGGTGCCCTACCTGGCCCCACCCCACCCCCAGCTGTTTTGGCAGTCACAAAAGTAGCCCCAGGCGTTGTCACCCCAAGCTGAGAAGCACAAAAGCCATTTCCAGCTCCCCTCTTTCTGTCCTTTGCGCCCCCAGGCTCCATCTGGGGGGCCCTGGTCCTGCTGTGGGCCCAGGGGCAGGGCTGAGGAGGGCAGCGGGCGCGCGTTACCGGGGTGAGCTGCGGCGAGGCGAGGAGCTGCTGCAGCTGCTGGAGCTGCTCGTGCTGCTGCAGGAGCTGTCTCTGCTGCTCGCTGAGGCTGCGGCGGGGACAGAGCCCACACATGGGAAGGGGCCTGGCCGCACGGCCCCCTGCCACCCCGGGAAAAGCCCCCCGACTCCCTCAGAGGGCCCGAGACCTGGGCGGGAGGGACGCGAGAGGGAAGAGCCTGGCCAGAAGAGGTGGGGGAGACGCACAGAGATCAACTGTTTGGCCCCGCAGCTCTCCCCGCCCCGGAGGGCACTTGCCAGCCGACATCTAGGGACGCCCCCTGGATGGAGACCCCATGAGCCGGGTTGGGGGCATCTTCCTTGGGGACCACAGGTGTCGGGGGTCCCTCCCAGAGCCAGCCCCCCTGCCCCTTCCCAGGGCTGAGCTCTCCCTCACCTGTTGAGACAGCCTGGCAGCTGCAGCGCGGGGGCCCCGCCAGCCTGGCTCAAGCCTGCGGGGTTGGGGGCAGCGGCCCCGTTCAACCCCCCCAGAAGCCCATTGAGGGGCAGGGCCCCGCTGCCCGCCAGCCCCCCCAACAGCCCCTCAGCCATGGGCAGCGCCCCCAGCCCCGCGGCCCCAGGTGCCCGGCCGGGTGCCCGGCCCAACCCATTCTGTGACGGGAGCGGGGCCCCGGGCAGGCTCTGCTGGAGCAGGGGCAGCGGTGGGGGCGTGCTGTGGAAGGACAGCGACGAGCTGCTGCGGCTCGGGCAGCCTGAGTGCGGGTCCTGGGGAGGGAGGGGGAAGGGGGGGGGTCAGAGGGGCAGAGGGCCAGCGGCAGCTGTCTGGCCCCCTGGCCCAACGCCCATAACATTCCCTGCCCCCCTCGCACCCAGGCACAGCCCCCCAGGACTAAGAAGCAAGGCCCAGGGAGACAGGTTCACTCAATCCCCAAATCATCTTCACTAGCCACTGCAACTGGCCACTTCTGGGGGGGTGGCAGTGCCCCTCCTCATCTTGGTTCATAATAATGCAAGGATGGTTGACCATCAGGGAGCGGACCATGGGGCCAACGCTCCACCTGTACAAGCTTCTCAGCCCCGTTCTAGGGGGAAGCCATTGATTATAGTATCTTATTTTTGGGTGGTGCGAGGGACTGAACCCAGTGCCTCACCATGCAAGGCAGGTGCCTGAGCTACGTCCAGGGCCTTGATTCTTAAAGCTTAGAAACTCTGAAGGCAAGAGGACAGCAGCGGGAGGGAAAGGCTCGGGGCAAGGCCCGTGCCTGGGGCTCGGTGGCTGGGGCAGCTGCGCGCTCAGCTCCCCCGTCACCTGTGGCGTAATAGCGGCACCCATGTCAGGCTACTGTTCACACTCAGTAAACCAGCGCTGGGAAACCTTCAGCACAGAGGGCATGGCCAAGGGCAAGTGCAATTAATGCGAGCTGTTATTATGATCATTACTGCCCAAGTCCCACAGCATAGTCAGCGGCAGGGAGAACCAAAACCCACTTTGACTTCAGTAATAACCACAATATAACAATAGCGTGGGCTACCCCCCCCACCACCACCAATTACACAGGGATTATTTCGTGTGAGGCACTGTAATAAACCCTTCACTGACACTTCTCAGAGAAGCCTTCTCCAACCACCTTCACATCATCGACAGCAGAATTGCGCCCCCGCCCGCCGTTCCTCACCCCCTCCAGTTCTTCAGAGCCTGGCCCCCATCCTGGTTTGTAATTATGGACTGTCTTCTCTGATTTAGCCTAGCTCCTGAAGCAGGACTGTGGCTCCGACTGCTAAGCCAAGCACGAAGTGGGTCCCTCCTAATTGCTTCGCATTTAAGGCATGAACCCCCGCACTGGCGGATCAGTTAACTAGTGCACGGCCTGTGCCTTCACTGCTGTGAAGCGAGATGGGCCCAGAGACCCCTGCTACCTCTTCCCTCCCTCGTACCCACCCCCTCTCTCCCTGCAACGCCCACCTCGGAAGACGTGGACAGCGAGTTGTCCAGGCCAAGGCTGTTCTTCCCTGGGGGGCTCTTGCTGGTGCTCACGGAATCGCTGCTGCCGGCTGGGGGAGGGAATGAGGGGCGACGAAGGCGCGGGGCTGAGCGTTGGCCCAGCAGAGACCCCGTCCTCCGCGGCGGGGTGGGTCCCTCACCTTGGGGAGGCAGGCCATAGGGTGCAGGGACGGGGCCGTTGGTGGCAGGAATGGCGGCAGGCAGGGCGGGAAAGGGCACCGAGAGCTGCACGTTGAGAATCTGCAGTCGTTCCTTCTTGGCCGTCAGACTCAGAATCTGCTCCTGGAGCCGCTGGTTTTCCTTCTGCAGCGCGTGCAGCGCCTTCAACATCTCCACGACTGCAGAGAGAGGGCGGGGCGCGCTGAGCCCCGCGGGGCTGGGGCGGGGCCGGAGGGCGGGGCGGGGCCAGGGGCGGGGCCTGGAGGAATGCGGTCCCAGTTCTAGACTGAGCCGAGCAAACCTGGGGATGGGTGGGGGCGGGGGGGACGCACAGAGGCTGGGGTAGAGGCGCTGAGATTGCTAAAGACTGCCCAGGATGGTGAGCAGTGGGGCGGCAAGAAGCGAGTGCCTGCCGCGGATGAGTTGGGGAAGGGAAAAAATAAATCCTAAGAAAAGATGGACAGATGTAAGGCCTGGGTCAGAAGAAGCACCAGGGGACTGGAGTGATAGCACAGCGGGTAGTGATAGCACTGCGTGCCTTGCACGCAGCCGACCCGGGTTCGATTCCCAGCATCCCATATGGCCCCCTGAGCACTGCCAGGAGTAATTCCTGAGTGCATGAGCCAGGAATAACCCCTGTGCATCGCTGGGTGTGACCCAAAAAGAAAAAAAAAAAAGAAGCACCAGCTGGCAGAGGGGTGCGGAGCAACTATGTATGAGGAAAGGTCGCTCGGTGCTAGCAGGAGTAAAGGGTTACGCCCAGCGATGCTCAGGCTGGGGAGCCAACGCAGGCCCTGGAGTGGTCCAGCTTTCCAGCCATCTCCCCAACACTGGGGGTTTAGTTTAAAGGTATTTGGGGGCCTTGGGAGCACTGGGGGCGGGTCTGGGGCCAGGTCTCCCAGCCCGCTGCCACCCCTCCTCACTGTTGACACCGGCCTCGCCGTCACCCTGCTTTTCCAGGAGCTGCTCCATGTTTGTGGTTCCGGGGGCCGTGGGGTCCAGCTGGCCGGCCCCACATGGGGCAGAAGCTGTCTGGTCGAAGAGCGCTGGGAGGCTGCTGATGGGGGACCTGGGCTCGGAAGGGAAGACTGGGCTCAGGCTTCCCTTGCGTCCCCACACTTTCCCAGCTCCCCCACTCCCCCTTCAGGGGTTCTGGAGGGGTCCCTCCCCTGGGTCCCACCCCAACCGCCCCCTCCCCAGTGGACTGTGGTTCCAGCCCCACTCCCAGGGCCTCCCCCACACCGCCACCCCCCTCCCTCACATGGAAGACAGACTCTCCTGGGGGGAGGTCCCCCGACACCGGAAGCTGCAGTCCTCGAGATCTGGCTCTTGGAAGGAGAAGGGGGACGGGAATCAGTGGAGAAGGGGCCTCCAGATCCCGGATGATCTCTTGCCAGTGAAGTAAGGATGGGATCTGAGACTTTATGGTAGGTCCCCTTCCCAGGGATCTCCCGCCCCCAGACTGTGGTGAGAGCTCTGGAAGGCACTGGGAACCCTTGGGAGGCTAAGAAAAGTGATAGATCTTGTCCCTTTCTCTCTTTCTTTCTTTCCTTTCTCCTCTCTCTCTCACTTTTGTTTGTTTGGTTTTTGGGGCCACAACTAGCTGTGTTTAGAGCTGACTCCTGACTCTCAACTTAGGGATCACTCCTGGCAGGCTATGGGATCATCTGTGGTGCCCAGGATAAGATCCAGGTCAGCCACGGGCAAGGCAAGCCCCTCCCCACTGTACTACCGCTCCAGCCCCTACACCCTGCTCTAGAATCTGGCTGGAAAGCTCCATGCCTGAGCGCCTATAGGTCCAATTCCCAGTTTTTTTCTTTTCTTTTTCCTGGTGCCAGGAATCAAACACTGGGTCTCACCAAGGCCTCAGTGAGCATCTCTAGCCCTCCCTCACCACCCATCTTATTTTTAAGCTACAGAATCGAATAGTGGGCTGGAGCAATAGTACAGCACTTGCATTGCACGCAGAACAGGAGTTTAAGTCCTGGTACCACATAGGGTCCACGATCCCTGCCAGGACAGATCCCTGAGTGCTGAGCCAGCAGTAAGCCAGCACATGTGACCCAAAATCTGGGTGGCGGGTGGTGGGGAGCTAAAGTCATATAGAGTTGGAGTCAAGCCAGATCTACCTAGATTGAAGTGGCACCCGATATGTGCTGTGTGGCCTTGGGCATGAAACTAACCTCTCTGTGGTGATTGTTATGAGGAGTATAATAAAGTAATAGGTGCTAAGGGTTTTAGCTGGCATGCAGTAAACTAGTAGTTATCACAGATAACTTTGCCAGACTTTTTAAAAATTCACAGTCAGGAGGCAAAATTGGGCCAGTTATCCTGCAACCCGCGGTGTTGGGATGAAGGGAATCCAACTCAGGGATTTCCTCACACATGCTAGGCAAGTGTTCTACTGAAACCACCTGGAAAGCGGCCTCCTGGGGGTGGGGCCGGCCTTGATCCTGGAGTGAGTAGGCCCCTTTAAGCAGGCTACCTGAACTGCAGGCGTGGGCATTAGCCCCGCCCCCCTAGCGGGCCAGAAGGTGCCTCTACACCAATCAGCTTGTTAGGGTTGGGTTGTACCACTTGCTAGCCGCTCCCTTAACGCCTAAGTGTCTGGAGGGCGGGTTGCCCCGCTGCCAGGACCACAGCAAGAGCTGGTCCCAAAGGACTCCTAAGAGGCAGTGAGCAACTCTGGTGCAAGGATAAGAAAGCCTGCCCTCCACTCTGCTCTCCCTACTTACTTTAGCTGCTGTGAGCTTCGGGGAGATGCAGCAGTGATTCTGTCTGGCTCTCACCCATTTGGGCTTTTTTTGTTTGTTTTAGGGCAACACCTGGGCTGTACTCAGGGATGACTCCTGGCAGGGCTCAGGGACCACATATGGTGTCAGGGTGGGCTCAGTGCAAGATGAGAACCCTACCGATTGCACTACTATCCTGCAAACCCCACTCACCCACCCAGTTTTAAGGTTAAAATGAAAGTTGGTTGTCTTGGAAAAAAGAAAACTGCTTTTTCTGTTCTGTTTTGTTGTTTGGGCCACACCGGCAGTATTCAGTGGTTACTCCTGCTTCTGCACTCAGGGATTACTCCTGGTGGGCTTGGGGAACCACATGGGACTCCAGGGATTAAACCTGGTTTGGTTGCATGCAAGGCAAGTGCCCTACCAACTGTACTATCTATCTCTTGGGCCCCCATAACACCCTCCCCTCAGGTTGGGCAATGGCCAGAGGGAGGAGGCAGCCAGAAAACCCTCCCATCCTTTCTAGGGGTAACATGCAGGGGGAGGGGCTGGTCCCTGAGGCCTTTGGGAAGGGGAATCGGGTCACATACCTGTGTGGCTGCTCTCGGTTTGGGTGAGGAGGGGGTTAATGGCACCCACTGGGGTTCCAAAGATGTGGGTAGAAGGGAGGCTAAAGGTGGAGCCAGCCAGAGAAAACACCTAAGGGAAGGAGGCAGAGTCTCACTGGTGGTTATTCTGGGATCTAGGGCGCAACAGTGTAGACTGGGGTGGCGGGGACCAGGCAGGCTACGAGGGAAGCACTAGCATTCGCTCCTGTGGGGATCAGTCGGACCTCTCCGGGTCCATGAGGGCTGGGGTCCTGTGCAGCATGTCCCCCATCCGCCCCAGAGAAGGAGGAGGAAGACCTCACCTGAGTGGTGGAAATAGAAGCAGAGGAGGAGGGGAGGGTGCTGGTGAACGGGGAGCGGCTGAGGCAGGGCAGAGCCGAGGTCCCTGGGGGGCCCAGCAGGCTGGAGGAGAGGGGGGTGCTGCAGACAGCCCGAAGCATGGCGCCACCGTGGGAGATCGGGTCCTTATTACTGGTGTAGATGCCTGTGGGTGCGTGGACACAGGGAACGCAGAGGTCACTGCTCACAGAGCCCACGGTTAAGTGTGTCGGGGGCTCCAAGCCCTCCTCAGGCTGGATCTGGCCACACACACCCCCACCTTCACTGCCAGTCTAATCCTCCAGTGCCTAGATGCCACTTCTGCCTGGATGTCAGACACGCCCGCCTCAGAGACTGCCCTGCATAGGCTTGGGAGTAGCATTTTTTTGGGGGGTGGCAGCGGTTGGGGTTAGGGCCATACCAACAGTGCTCAGGGCTTACTCCTGGCTCTGCGCTCAGGGATCACTCCTGGCAGGGTTGGGCAACCGTCTGGGGTGCCAGAAGCTGAAATCGGATGGGCTGTGTGCCAGGCAAGCGCCGTCCCTACCCCAGGCCTGGGAGTTTCAAGCTTTTCTTGCTTCTCCCACAAAACCCGGGAGTCTCAGCCTAATCAATGGCTGAATAAATAGCAATACTCCTACACTAAAAAAAAAAAACACACAGGAGTCCTACCGGCAACCTGCCATGTTCCCCCCCCCCCCCCGCCATCACCCCTCAGAGGGCTGGAGGTGACCATGGGCTCCATCCTTATCTGTCTGAGTCACTCCCTGGAGTAGTTTCTACCAGAGTTCCTTCTGGGCCCCCTCATAACCCCCCCAGGTGCTCACTCACCTGCCCCCAGCAGAGGGGACTCCAGGCTCAGGCTGGGCAGGCTCCCAGCAGGCCCAAAGGTGCGGGAGGCCAGACCACCCAGGCCGGAGCTGACCAGGGACCCTCCGGAGAAGGGGGAGGCAGCTGTGGCAGTGAAGCCTGCCAGCTGGGCTGCAGGCAGTGAGGGGGCCACTGTGGCCCCCGCACCCTCCTTGTTCCGGCTGCCCTTGGGGCGGCCTGGCCCGTGTCTGCTCCTCTTGCTGGCTTTGTGCTTCTTCTCCTTCAGGCCTGTTTCGGGGGGCTCCTCGGTAGGCACAGAGGCAGCACTCAGGGTGGGCATCCGCTTATGGGTGCCTGCGGAGGCCCCGGACCCCGAGACGTGGGGAGATTTATAGTCCCCAGGGGAGGGGGCCCGGGCCCGGGTCGAGCCAGAGGGGGTGGTGGAGAAGCGCATGATGGGCCCAAAGCCAGAGAAGACCACCTTCTGCTCAAAGAGGTCAGCCTTGTGGGGCTCGGGGGCGGGGGGTGAGGGGGGGCCTGGCGGGGAGGGGGCTGCGGGCTTGGAGTACTTGTCTTCCTCCGGCTGCTCCAGCTTGGGGAGTGCAGAGAAGTCGGGGGAGCTCTGCAGGGACGATCCTACACAAAGGGAAAGGCAGTTTGTGGGCCAGACCCCCGACCCGCCTGCTACCCCCTCACTCTGGCTTGCCTGGGGTCCTGATCCAGCCCCCCGCTATGCCAGTGTCCTGGAATGAGTGTGCCCCTTCAGCTTGCCCACCGGCAGCAACCCCTGATGGCTGGCTGGCCTCAGGACCTCATGGGAATGGGAGGGAGGGCCGGTACTTTGTTTTGGGGGTCACATCCGGCAATGCTCAGGAGTTACTCCCAACTCTGCACGCAGGAACTACTCAGGTGGGGTTCGGGGGACCATATAGGGTGGTGGGGATCGAACCCGAGCCAGCTGCGTGCAAGGCAAGTGCCCTACCTGCTGTCCTATCACTCCAGCCACACTGCTGTTTTTAAAAACGGCACCTTGGGCACCTCACAGCTGGAGCTGGGGAGATCCCTAAGGATCTGGAGAGGTGGGCCCTGGGAGTGGAGGAGTGTGTGGAGGGGGGCCCCCATCTCTAAGGGGCTCAGATGAAGAGCAGACGGAAGGCAGAGGGTAAGTAGAGGCCGCTGCTGGAGAAGCACCAGCTCACGGGCAGGCCAAGCATGCAGTTTCCTGGAGCCCCCTACTCACCTGCAGGCTGAAAGGGTCCCCCAGAAGAAGAGGAGGAGGAGGAGGAGGAGGAGGAGGAAGAGGAAGAGGAAGAGGATGCGGAAGTGAACCCGCTGGCGCCTTTCCCGCTGCTCAGTTTCTTGCCCTTGTGGCTCAGGCCGTGGCTGGAAGACTTTTTCCCCTTGGGGTCCCGGCTGTTCTCCGAGGTGTCCTGAGTGCTGGCTTCGTGATGGGAGGAAGCAGAAGCCGAGGGGACCTGAGGGAGGGAGGGAGGCGGGGGAGAGCGGCAGGTTCAAGGCCAGCTGCCGGGTACGGGCTCATCTGGACTTGGCTGTGGAGCTGGACTCGCATGTCCTTCCTGGTTAGCTCCAGGAAGTCCAGACCAGGGAGACTGGGGGGACAGGAAGCCCCTAGAGCCAGGAGATGGGGAGACAACTGTGGACCTTGGAGAGGACAGTGCTCTACACCCAAAGTGCTGTCTGCCCCTCATGCAGGGAAGAGGGCGGGGAGAGATGCATCAGCCTCATGTCTGTCCATTTTTCCATTTTCTTCGATCCTTCATTTAAGAAACACTTGGGGAGAGCCAGAGGTGATGGTACAGCGGGAAAGGCTCTTGCCTTGCATGTGGTCAACCTGGGTTTAATTCCCGGCATCCCATAGGGTCCCCTGAGCATTGCCAGGAGTGGTTCCTGTGTGCAGAGCCAGGAGTAACCCCTGAGCCTTGCTGGGGGTGGCCCAGAAACAGAAAGAAAAGATACATCCATGGAGGACCAGGGCAATAGTACAGCAGGTAGGGCACTTGCCGTGCATGCAACTGACTCAGATTTGATCCCTCATATGGTTCCCTGAGCCCACCAGGAGTGATTCCTGAGCACAGATACAGGAGCTAGCTGAGTACGGCCCAAAAACAAAAACAAGAGAGAAAGAAAGGAGGGAAGAAAGAGAAGGAAAGAAAGAAGAAAGAAAGAAAGAAAGAAAGATAGAATACCCAGAAAGAGAGAGAGAATGAGAGAGAAAGAGAGAGAGAGAGAGAGAGAGAGAGAGAGAGAGAGAGAGAGAGAGAGGATACCCAGAGAAGGGGAGAGGATACCCAGATACCCACAGAGAGGGGCCAGAGAGAATACAGGAGAAGGTGCTTGCCTTGTTTGCCCAGTAACGATGCCTGGCACCGCAGGGAATGATCCCTGAGTGCAGAGCCAAGAGTAAGCCCTGCACACAGCACAGTGTGCCCCCCCCAAAAAATTATGATAAATTGAAAAGTTAAAAAAAAAAGGAATATCTAGGAAGGCTTAAGAGGACCCCACCTGAGGGCTCCAGGGCCCATCCTCAGCCCCCCTCCCCCACCCCACCGAGTTCACCAGAGCTGCAGCCACCACAGTGAGCAGCTCCTGACTCTACAGGAAGTGGGCTGGAGGCAGGCTCAATGGGCTGGGGGCAGGCTATGCATGTGGAAGGCCATGGTCGACACCCGCTTCTGACCCCAGCAGCTCCGCCTGGTCCCCAGTACCGAGCCAGGAATAGGTCCTGAGCACCAATGGGTGTGGCCCTCCCCAAACCCAAAACAACAAAAAAGTTCAGCTTGGAGTGGGGGGTTGGGGGGGTCGGACCTGGCTCTTGCCCAAAAGTGCAAACATGAGGTACTTAGTGTGATCCCCAAAGCCACCCAGCTGTGCTGGGCCTGGTCCCAGCCACTCTGCTCGGCCAGCGCCACTGAAAGAGACAAACGATGGGACCAGAGAGACGGGACAGGGTTAAGGTGCTTGCCCTGCATGTGGCCAATCTAGGTTTGGTGCCCAGCACCACCACATACGCTTCCCCGAGCACCATCAGGAGTGATTCCTGAGGAGGATCGGGAGTAGGCCCTGGGCACCACCAGGTGTGGCCCCAAACAAATAAAAAATGAAAAGTCCCATGAGCCCTGTGGCCTGGGCAGCACCCCACTAAAGTGTGGTGTACAGCCCCAGTCACTGCAACAACAGCAAAAAACGGAAGGGGGGACATTCCGGCTCGGAAGTCCCTCTCCCAAGATGCATCCCTCTGTCCCCCGATTTCCAGGCCCTGCCAGGTCAGGGGGTTGGGCCTCACGCTCACCCCTCAGTGTGCCTACTTACTGCCCATCAAGGCACAATGGCAGGCACAGAGTGAGCAGTCACTGATGACAAACCTGGTGACCTTGGCTAACAAGCCACAGAGTTTCATGGATAGAAACCTCTTGGGGGGGCAGGAAAGGGGAGAGTTGGGCCACAGCTGGTGAAGTTCAAGGGTGACTCCTGGCTCTGTTCTCAGGGGTCACTCCCGACAGTGTTCAGACCACTATGTGGTGCTGGGGATGGAACGCAGATCTCCCACCTCCAAGGTGTGGGCTCCAGTCCACTGACCTCTCTCTCTGTTTCATGGGCACAAATTTTTTTGGGGGGAGGGGTTGGAGCGCACAGTGCTCAGTGCTTACTCCTCCCTCTGTGCTCATGGAACCATATATGGGTACTGGGGATTGAACTGGGGCTAGCTGCAAGCAACATACAGAACACCTTATCCCTTATCCAGGAGCCTTATCCACACCTCCTACCATCCCTCTGTCCCTGGGGTATGAACCTTGACTCCTTCCCTTAGTAGCTCTGAGGCAAATTCAACTTCTCTTGGCCCCAGCATCTTCATTTATTATTAAAATAGCTACTTCACGGGATTATTTAGAGGATTATACAACTAATCCCCGAATGCCCTGACTGTCCCTGTTCTAGAAGACAGCGTGGATGTGGATGAGGAGTGGGGCTCCCTGGCACTCCAGGGGGCTCTCCTCCTCCTGGCAGGGACTCGGTCCTGGAGGAAGGAGTGCCCGAGAGGCTGGCCGGGAAGGACCCAGTGCTGCCCCTCCCTGGGTGGGGCCTGGTCTCTGTCTCCTCTTTGTTCTTTTCCACAGCTGGAGTTCTGAAGGGAGCCAGATGTGGTTCTGAGCCAGAGAGGAGAGGGGCGAGGGGGAGGGGAGCTGACACACTGGGACGGGCAGAGGGGCGGGGGCTGAGGACTCCACCATGTCCAGGGGGATACCCAGGCCCCTGGGGAGCACTCAGGAAGGCTGGGAGAGAGGGCAGAGGGCACAGGAAAGAGTGTCCCCAGGTGAGCCTTGGGAAACAGGGAGGGGACAGGGTTACTGGGACAGTGACATCACCCTGGAAACCTGATACCTGGCCATGGAAGATGCCCAGGGCTCTGCCAACCTCCTGAGGTGGATGGAGGGGAGAGGGTTGATCATGACACCCTGCAGAAAGGCATTTTTGCAACCCCCCCCCCACCTTTCTGGGGTTAGGGCGCAGGCAGCATGAACCACCCCCTGCCCAAGGGCAGGGCCTGCACGGGCTCAGGAAGCTGGTGGCTGTTTCTGAGCCAGGCCCCACATACCAGGCTCTGACTGGGCAGGGTGGGGTGAGTCAGGAGCCAGCCCCCCTTGCTCACTGTGTTTACACCCTCTGCCCCTGAGCAGTGTCTTGACAGGCCAGAGTGGGGATACATTCCCTGACTTCTCTGGGACACCAGATCCTAAGAACTGGGACAGCAAGCCTGAGGACAGGGTCCACAGCCCAGAGCCCAGAACTGAGGCCGGATCTGGACAGAAGCAGACAGGGACATCTGGCAGCCAGCAGGGAGGGTAGTACCCCCAGACCCTGCTGGATGTCCAGTAATGGGTGGAGCTGAGGACACAGCTCCCTGCTAGGCTGGAAGCTGGAGTTAATAAACTGGGAGCAGCCCGGTCCCCCATTCACTGGACCCCTCACAGATGCCCCCTTCCCGCTGCTGGGTGGGGTGCGGCCCTACCTTGTCAGCAGTGGGGACCACAGGTGGGGTGAGGGTGCTAGGGGGTGACTCAGGCCGCTTCTTGTGCTTCTGTTTAAGGCGTTCTTTGTCCTTTCGACTCTGGGAAGAGAAGTGAGCAGTGTGGGGTGGGGAACAATCAAGGGATGCAACGGGCAAAAGTGGGGCCTGGCACCCTCTCAGAGGCAGGCTCTCTAGGGCGTGCCCCCCCCAACACACTACAGTGAGTAGAGGGTCAGGGCCTCACAAAACCAGCCACCCCTCCCCCACCGGAACTGCCTGCTAAAAATAGCCCATCCCATTATCACATGGGTGCTACCATGCCACACACATGAGCATGCCCTGCTCATGCGCATTTGTGTGTGTACACACACCCAATTGTGAGCACGTGTGTGTGCATCTGTGAGCACGTGTGTGCATCTGCGAATGCGTGCATGTGCGTGCATCTGTGTGTGAGCACACGAATGAACATGTATGTGTATGCATCTGTGTGTGTGCATCTGTGTGAGTGCATGTGCATGCCTGTGTGTGTGAGCGCATGTGTGTGTACATGCATCTGTGTGTGGGCACATGTGAGTGTGCCTGTGTGTATGCATCTGTGTGTGAGTGCATGTGCGTGTGTATGCATCTGTATGTGTATGCATCTATGTGAATGCGTGTGAGTGCACGTGTGTGTAAGCACATGAGTGCATGAGTGTATGCGTCTGTGTGAACATGCATCTGCACATGTGCATGCATGCGGAGTACAAAGGCGAGGAAGGGGGAAAATTTATATTTGGCTTTTTGGGTCACACCCAGTGGTGTTCAGGGGTTACTCCTGGCTCTGCACTCAGGAATCACTCCTGAAGGGACCATATGGGATGCTGGGGACAGAACCGGAGACAGCCACATGCAAGGCAAATGCCTGCCCTGCTGTACTAGCACTCCAGCCCAGAAGGAGGAAAATGTTTACCTTCTTCTGGCCCCTCTCATGGTGGGAAAGGTGCTTCTCCTGCTGGGTAGACGGAGAAGCTGAGCGGCTTCTCCGGCCAGCAATGAAGCCACTGCCGCCACCGCCGCCACCGCCGCCGCCGCCACTGCTGGAGTGCCGGGATGTCTTCTGAGGAGAAAACGCAGAGGTCTGCAGCCCTCTGACCAGCTCACGGGAGAGCCCTGGGGTCTGGTACCTGGGGTGAGTCCCTCCTACCCTGCTGGTCACACAGAGCACCCCTGTCCTCTCCGATGCTCTGCTCAGCGGATGGCAGAACCCCCAGCACAGTCCCACTTAGCCTAGACAGTCAGCCAGGATGCAACTGGAGTTCCAGACCTCGCCACCTCCTTCTGCGGTGCTCCCGGCCCACAGCCATTGTGGACCCCTTTCTCACAGCCTGTGTGTGTCTCCCATCTCCCTCAAACTGGAGACTGGACGAGCACCCCGGTAAATGCCACTCCCCAGCATGTCCTGCTCTGCCCTCCAGCCACTCGCCTTCTGTCACTGACCACCCCCTCTACCAGCAGATCCTTTTCTCCCCAAAGACAGGCGCCCTTAAGAAGAGGAAGAAACAGCCAACACCCCAGCACCACAGTAGCCTTTAAGCTGCCCCCATGCTTGCCACTGCTGCCTCTCAGGTCCCCCGTGATTTCCCGAACACCAAGTTAGGAGGAATGTTGGCCTTTGTTCCAATAAACTGCTATCCAGACCTGGGGGTCCCAAAGCCACCTGGCCGAGGGGCTGGGAGACAGCTCAAAGGGCAAGAGTGCAGGCCTCGAATGCCAGAGTCTGGTTCAGTGCCTGGCAACACAGAGTCCCTTGGTCTTCTCTGACCAGAAGCCACCTCTGAGCATGGGAAGCAGATCTCTCCCAACCCTGTCCCCAGCATTGCCAGGTCTGGCCCCAAAACCGTATAGGGGGAGTTGGAGAGTACGGAGTCAAAGCACTTGCCTGTGTGTGGCCAGCCCAGGTTTGATCCCCAGCACCACACATGGACCTCATTTGGTGCCCTGAGCCCCACCAGGAATGATCCCTGAGCACGGAGCCAAAAGGAAGCCCTGCGCACATGCGCACGTATGCACGCACACACATACACACAACCTTCAGAGTTCTAGACTCTCTCCTTCAAGAGAAAGTTTTAGACGTTTCCTTTACACCTTGACCCCTGGCCCAGGTGGGCACTGAGGGATTCCAGACCCAGCCTTAAATACCCAGAGCCATTATGCAACAATCACCTGACCACGACCACTCAGTACCATCTAGAAACCAAACTCAGTTTCCCTCCCTTGTCCTAAGTGTCCTGTTATCAAACACCGGAAACCAAGGTGCTCATGGATGGCTCACCGGGACCCACCTGGACAGAACATTTCCGAGAATAAGAGGGGGTAGTACAGGCACATCCAACCAACAGCTGCTGCATACGCTGGTCACAGCACCCCAAGAGCTCAAGCTCTATCTGCCCAGAGTCAAGAGCCTGGACCCCACGGGCCACCCCCAAGTTCTGCTGCTCAGCCAGCCCCATGTATGGCCAGTCTACCTGGACAAAGTCTGAGAATCCCAACTCACCCACAGCCTTCTCCCCACTGTCTCCAGCCACCAGCCAAAGTCCCAGAACCCCAGCTGAGCCTGCCAAGGTCATCCTTCCAGGAAGCCATTCCCATCAGTTCAGCCTCTGCTGCAGAACTCACAACCCTAACGCAAAGACCCACACAGACTCCCCCCCACACACACCCAGACCTACAAAGATCTACACACACGCAGACACAGACACACACACACACACACACACACACACACACACACACACACACACACACACAGAGGATTTGTCAATCCCTCTTTTCAATCAGGCCAATTCCCCCTTGGAACCATGTGCAAGTTTCAGAGCCTCAGCAGGTTCTGGCTTACTCGCCTCTCACATTGGGAAATACAGCACACCTACTCCGCAGGGCTGCTGGGAAGATCCCACAAAACAACACAGGCATGAACTTCGTGCAGGGGCTGAGCCACGGTCCTCCCCATGGAGCAGGCACTGCTCTTGCCGCCTCCACTCCGCTTGCCCTTTCACTCTGCCCAAACTGACCGGCAGGGGCAGAACTGGAGGCCAGGTCCTGCCAACCCCCTCCAACCCCCCCAACGCCTGAACTTCAAATCAGTCTTCAGCCGACCGAGCGCCAAGGGCAGGGACTGGGCTCTCTCTAGCTCTGTCCTCCCGCCACCAGGCGTCCTCCTGGCCCAGGGCCCACGCCCGCTAACCCCTGGCTGGCCGGCCCACACGCACTTCCGGCACACTGGACTCACCATCTTGCTGAAGTGGTATTTGCAGTAGCCGCAGTACTTGACGTTGTCCACCTCCAGCACTTCTTCCTCACACAGCAGGCCTGCCATTTGGGCACTGACCGAGAGGTGTCAGTCTCAGATGGACAGAGCCACGCAGGAGACCAGCCACTCCCTCCCATCCTCCTGGACCCCTGCGAGCAATGCTATGGCCACCCATGAAAGCACAGTCCTTGTCTCCCGCCAAAGCCAGTCACCTGAGGCAAACTTTGAAAGGGGCTGGTCCAGCTGGCCTGGGATCCCAGACAACTGGGGAAGGTGGGGGACACACGGGGACATTCAGGGGTCTCACCAGGTGACATGGAAAGCTTGCCGACATCCATGGCGGTTACAGGTCATGCAGGCTCCTGAGGCGGCCTTGCTCTCCCGGCCCTGCTCCTCACAGATGTAACATGTCTGCAGGACACAGGACAATCGTCCCCTCCTCCCTCTCCTGGGTGTCCTGGGGCCTCCCCGTCCCATCCCATCCCCTCAGTGCTAGGGCAGGGCTTCCTGACAGAAGGTGGATGGTGATGGAAATGTTCTAAGCTACTCTGACCAACCACGCAGGCTGGTGAGTGCTTCAGATGTGGCTAGTGTGACAGAGGAATGGCTTTGAAATGCTATTTAGCTGTGATTGGTTTATACAGCCACCCATGGTCTGCGGCTACTGCATTCAGGAGCAGACACCTTGATGGTGAGTCTGTCTGTCTTACTCTTTGGCCAGCCTCCTCCTGCTTCCAGACCTTTGCACAGGCTCTTTCTGTTGCCTGGGACCTGGCACCCCCAACCCCCAGCCCACCTCCTGCAGGCTGGCTCTATCTCATCCCCCAGCACCCAGGCAAAAAATGTCCTCAGGAGGTATTTTCTTTTTAGTTTGTTAATTTTGCAGCTACACCTGGCATTACTCAGGGAGGCCTCCTAGCTCTGGGTTCAAAGATCACTCATGTCAGGGCTCAAGGGACCATATGTGATGCTGGGGATTGAAACTGGGTCAGCCAATGCAAGGCAAGTGCCCTACCTACTGAGCTATCTCTCTGGCTCTTCGTGAGATATTCTTAATCGGGTACCTGGTTTGCTTTCTTCACAGCACTAACACTCACTGTATTCACCTAGTTACTGATATGGACAGTGCTCTCTCTCTCTCTCTCTCTCTCTCTCTCTCTCTCTCTCTCTCTCTCTGCTCTCTCTCTCTCTCACACACACACACACACACACACACACAAACACACACGAGTGTGAACCCTATGGGGCAGGGGGCCCACCTGTCTTCATTACTCCTGAACCCTGTGTCTGGTGCCTCACCAGGATGGGCACACTGTGTACTTCAAATGAAGGAAGGGGCAAGCAGTTTGGGGTTCTGGTGGCCATGAGATAGCCCAGTACTAGGCAGTTCCAGAGCAGACGCATAAACCCTGGCCCATCAGTGGAAGGGGCCTCCCTGCCTCCTGAGTTCCCTGAAAATGTCAGCTGGACAAAATCAAATCACACTGGCTACAGAGAGAGCTGGAGGACCCCGGGAGGAGGGGTGGCCAGGAGATGGGCAGGGGAGGGGTTGGTACTGAGCATGGCGGGGGGCGCTGACCTTGTTGAAGCGATCATGAGGCACGTACTGCAGCACGATGGGTTCCATGGTGAGCACGTTGGCAAACTGCACCTCGGGGATGTAGAGGGCACACACCACGTGGGCCCAGCCTGGGGCAGTGTGGGGCCAGCCTCAGCAGTGATGGGGAGTCCCCCACACCGGTCCCACAGCCCCCACACTGCACACAGGCCCCTAGTCCCGGGACTGCCGGGGAGGGAGAAGCCGGCCTCCACCCTGCCCCCGTCTGTTCCTGCCTTCCCGACCCTGTTCCGGGGCCCTTGCTGACCTCCACAAGTAGGGCTAAGGGACCCCCTCACCTCCATTGTCAGTCCTCTTCAATGCCCCGTCTTTGTGTGGGCACAGCTCACACCTCTGGCAATGCAAGGGAGGGGGGCACAGGGATTGAGGGGAAGGTCTGTGGAGCTGGGTCCTCCCTGAACATATCCAAGGGCCCCAGGATGAACCGATATTGGGGGAGAGGGGGTTCAGAGGAAGCAGAAGGGCCCGGAGTGGACCCCTGTGGGGCGCTGAAGTCCACAGCCTTCTACTTTCTGACAGGTTGTCAACGCTCCACCATAAAAGTTCACACACACACACACAAATGAAAGGCTGGAGGCTGAAGTGAGGGACAGTGAGGTGGGGCTGAGGGCAATGGGTGTGCAGACAGGTGTGTAGGAAACAGGAAGTCCTGTGACACAGCTAAGTCCCACCCTAGCCTGAGTTCCCCTAGCTACCCCCCCCCAACACAGAGGCTCAGGGGAGGGGCTAGGGAGGGTGGCCACCAACTTACCACCCTGGCCGCACGCTCCTGAGATTCACATTTCCTGCAGAACCAGGGTCCCGTGGGCACCTGGACGATGCCATAGCAAGCTGGGAGGGGGGAGGAGAGTCAAGGAGCAACCCCGTCAGCCAGTGGCTCTGCCCAGTGAAAGTGGGGGAAAGGGTGGCCTCGAAAGCGCATGCCAGCAGGGGGGGCTGCTCCCGTGTCTGGGGGTCCCTCGTGATCCAGGTCAGCACCAGCTGTACCCCAACACCCCTTGACCAGCCGGCAAGCACACATCCCAGACTCCAAACAGTGGTAGGAAGTCAAACCCTTGACCTTAAACTTCTGAAAGATCTGCCCCCCTAATCCTCCCCCCACCCCACACCCCCCAAGCCCTTACCCTGATCTTTCTAGCCCAGTTTTTCAGCCTAGGCTGGGGGTCCATTCCTCCACTCGGGGAATTATACAAAACCAGCCCACACAACTTTCTAGGTAGTCAAACACGTTTTGTTGTTATGGGGGGGAGGGGGACATTTCTTAAAGGGCCAGTGAGGTAAGAGGCAGGGGAAGTCGGGGGTCCAGGGACCTCAACTCCGGCCTCATCTCGGAGGGCAGCAGGTACAGAGCTCAAGGCGAGGCCGGAGGCAGGTGCAGGGCAGGGATGGAGTGCAGCGGGAAGCCTCGCAGCCTGCCGGCAGGGCTGTCCCAGGAAGTGGGGGCCCAGCTGGCTGTGCCAGACAGGCGGGAGATGCCAGCCTGCGCCCTCGGCAAGATTCCTCAAGGAGTTAACTCCCGAACCATGTGCTGCCGGGGGAAACTCCAAACCCCGCTCCTCCACGCCGCCGGGCCCCTCACCACCTCTCCGAGCTCAGCCCTCCCGGAGGACTCGAGGCGTCCCTCTCCCAGGGGACCCTTCCCTCCCTTCCCGATTCCGCTCCTCCCAGCCTCCGGAAGCAGAAGGGGGGGGATGACCCCCCTTGACCTCTCCCTCCCGAGCCGAGACCAAAATAACCGGGCAGGAGGGGACACCTCGCAGGTAAACATTGCCCGGCGGCAGCGACACCGGCGCGGCGGGCGCGGAGAGTGCACGCCTGGCCCCCTTCGACTGTCCCCAAACTCCCTCAACTTGGGGTGGGGGGCGCGGGGCTGGAACAATAGGCAAGAAAACAATGCCTGACCCGGTCCGCCAGGACCCGGCGGGGGGAGCCCCCCCACGCCTCCCTTCCCTTCAGGTGGGGTGGGGGAAGGGCGCGCGAGCCCCGGGAGGTCTCCGGAGGGCGCGGCTGGGGGCGCCCCGCGCGCGCCAGCCCCGGGGTCCCGTCGCGCCCCCCGCCCCGTCCCCGAGGGCCACCCCCGTACCTTGGTGGACAGCCACGCTGCACGCGTGCCCATCGCAGTAGACCAGCGGGTTCTCGGCCCAGCCCCTCTCGTCCGAACATACGCAGCAGCCTCCTACCATCTCCTTCATACTCCCATGAGCTCCCTCCGGGGCTGGGGCGGGGGGCCGGCCGGCGGGGGTCGGGGGTCAGGGGGAGGGAGGGAGCGGGGGGCCGCGCGCCTCCTCGCTCCCTCCTCCGCCGCCGCCGCCGCTTCTTTTCTTTGCCTCCTCCTTCCTCCTCCTCCTCCTCCTCCTCGGCGTCCTCCTCCTCCTCCTCCTCCTCCTCCTGCTCGCTCGCTCGCTCTGGCCGCCCCCCCCGCGGTGCTCTCGCCCTCATGCCCCGACGGCCCCCCCCCAACAATGAGCCCCGCGCGCGCCGGGCTGGCCCCCTCGGCGCCGCCGCGCGCCCCGCTACCAGCGCCGCCCGGCCGCCGCGCAGCCCGGGCCCGGCGGGGGAGGCGCCGAGTGGCACATCGCGGGCGCCCGCCCGCCCCGCGCCCGCCCCGCGCCCGCTCACGCGCCGCCCCCCCCGGCCCCCCTGCCCGGCCGCGGCAGCCATGGCCGCGCGCCTCCGCTCGCTCCCGGCCCGCCCGCCCGCCGCCGGGTAAAGTCTTCGGTTCAGGGAACAAAGCCCGGCTGGGTAGGGAGCGTTTGGCGCTCCGCTTTTCTTCCTGCGACTCGGGCTGGGCACCGCCGGGCCCTCCGCGGCCGGCCCGGGGCCCGGCCCCCCGCAGCCCCCGCCCGCCAGCTCGCGGGCTCGGGGTCTGCCAGTCACCCCCCGCCGGGAAACTCGGGGGGCGGGGAGCAGGCCAAGAGGGCACTGGCTGGAGCCGCGCGAGCCGCTCCACCCCCTGCGTCCCGGGAGAGGTGCTTGGGGTTGGGGTGTTTGGGCTTCATGTATCCATTTATTTACTTCGGGGAGGGGGAGGCGAGGGTGGAGTTTCTTCTTTTTCTTTTTGGATTTGGAGCCCCACCTGGAGATGCTCGGGGATCGCTCCCGGCTCCGGGTGGTGCTGGGGTGGGGCGGGGCTGGCTGGCGGTGTCGGGGATCGAACCCGCGGCTCCCGCGGGCGGAGCGCTCGCTCCCGCCCCTTGAGTCCTCTCCCGATTGGGCCGGGGTGGGGGGCGCTCTGGGGATGGCCGCAGGGCTCTTTGCTCGGAGGCCCCTCTGGAAGGCAGGCGTTTGTTCTTTCCGCAAATATTTATTGACGGCGAGGCGCGGCGCGGGCAGAGTGAACAAACGGGCACCCCGGCCCTCGGGGCGCCTCCAGTCCCGCTCACGGGCGCGCCGGCTCGCTCTGCCACTCCGTGGCTTGGAGGCACTGACACGGCCCCCCAATTCCCTCCCGGCCACACCTCCCGAGCCTCCCTCCGGGAGACACTAACCCCAGGTCCAGCCCTACAGGCGCACTTAGAGAACCTGGGAGTTACAGACCCGCGACTGCGGATGCGCAGATGCTCACCAAGCACAGGTCGGCGCCGGGGCGCACCCGTACCCCGAACGTTAACTCACACACACACAGCACCCTGTAGGATGCAAGTCCCTGAAGTGGGGGATTTGGGGAAGAAATTATTTCACCCCAGGACCTGTGTGGGCCGGGGGGACACGGTCACACCCCGCTACTTGCCAGAGGGGTGGGGGATGGACGCCCTCCAGGACCAAAGGTTACATTCAGGAGGCGAGAGGTGGGGAGAAGGCAGCGCTCCGGGCACCCGCGACACTTCAAAGACCTCGGGGCTGGGGACGCTTCCTGCGGGGGAGGGGCGGCGGAGCCGAGGGGGAAGACCCGCAGGGGGACGGGGGGAGGGGGAGGCCAGCCTGCCCCCCTTCGCTCACTGCCCCCTTGGCCGACTCTTCCGCCGACACCGCCTCCTTTTCACCAGCACCTGTTCAACCGGAACATCAAGGGGCCGGGGCCGCCGCCACCCCTCCCTCCGCCTCTATTTAGTACCTTTCATCCGGGAAGGGGGGGGTGAGTCCCCGCCCTGGAGGGGGGAGTGAGGCGGGGGAGAACTTGTCCTTGACCTGGTCTGTGGCGTCAGGGATTTACTCCCTTAATCCCCGCGAGGCTGCAGTTTGGGGAGGTCGAGAGGAACTGCATTCTGGGCTGCAGCCCCCGCCGGGTCGCCCCTCTCCCGCCGGCACCTGGGAGGGCTGCCAGGATGAGGGGCTCCGTCTGCATGGGTGGGGTGGGGGTGGGGGGCTGTCTGTGATGCTTCCTTGTCTGGGAGTGGGGGCTAAGAGCCAAAGGGGGGATTGTCGCCCGCTGGTCCCAGGGCCAGAATCCCTGCGAGGATACCGCGAGACATCCGTTCCTACGAAAAGTTAAACAGGACCCAGATGCGACGTCTCACGAGTTTCCAACGTTTTCCCTTACTGGGAAGAATACATTTTCAAGGAAATTACACACACACACACACACACACACACACACACACACACACACATGCCAGTCCCTTTAGCGGGGGCACACACACACACACACACACACACACACACACACACACACACACACATGCCAGTCCCTTTAGCGGGGGCACACACACACACACACACAAACACAAATGCCAGTCCCTTTAGCGGGGGCACCAGTTTGGGAAAAGTTGCATAATTGCTGCTGGGACCCGCCACGACCAAGGAGCCGCTAGTTCGGGTTTCGTTGGACAAGGGTCACTCCGAGTCAAGTCCTTGCTTAGAGGGTGGGACCACCTGGGGCGTGCCCTGCAGAGCCTTTTGTTTCGGATGCACCGGCTCACGGGTGTCACAGCTAAACCCAAGCGACGCTTGTGAGTTGACCAAGTGCATTCGGAACCGCGTTTCGTTTAATCTAACTTCCTACAGCTCTCTGGGTGGCTGTCGGTTTGGGGGCTCGGAGCTCAGGATCACTCCTGGGGAGGCGCTCCAGGGACCATCCTGGGGAGTGAACCCTGGTCGCCTGCAAGCAAGACCAGTGCCTTCCCCCCGCATCATCTTATTGGCCCCCTAGTTACTCCCACTTGATGGGCGGAACAAGAGAGGCTCCGGTGGACGGTGAGATTTGCCCGAAATCACAGCCTGAAGACGGCCAAGCCGGGATTCGAACCCAGTTCGTCCTCCGCGAAACTGGAGCTCTGCCAGGCGGCGACCTGGGAAATCAGCCCCTCACCCGGGACGTCCCGTCCAGGACAGCGGGCACGGGGCCTCGTGGAGCGGGGCTGGATGTGCGGGCAGGGGAGAGGGGTGGAGACGACACCCCCGGAGCTCGGTTAAGCGCTCTTGCCCTCTCCGCGTGTTTTTCCTGAGCACCTACTACATGCTCACTCAAAACGAGAAGCAGCGATGGTTCAAGTTCATCGCGCTCTCCTGGAGGTGACGGGGTGTCCACCGATGCTCAGCCGTGCCATTTTCGGCGAGTGACTCAACCTCACCGGCTCCGCGGGCGGACGCCCCCCTGGCGAGCACCCTCCGGCGAGGCGCTAACGAAACACCCGGGTGCACCGTCGGCACCCGGGGCCCGCAAGCCCCGTCTCGGCGCCGCCGAGCGTGCCCGGGCGGCGCGTTCCCGCTCCCGCTTCCCGCCTCTGGCGTCCTCGCCCGGGCAGCGCGTCCAGCGGCGAAGGGACGGGGGCCGCCAGGACCAAACAGAAAATTATTTCCGCCCGCTCGGCCCGCCCCGCCCCGCCCCGCCCCGCCCGTCCCCGGAGCCAGAAGGGGATTGTGGGGCCGCCGCGGCCGCCGCGGGAGCCGAGCGGGGCGGAAGCGCGCGTCGCGCTGCTGCTCGGGCCCGACCGCGCCGGCGCCCGCGCCTCCCGGCCCGGCGAGCGGGGCGCACCGGGCGGCGCGCGCGCGGCTGCCGGGCTGCTGGGGGCTGCAGCGGGCCCCGCCGGCTCCTCGCCGCGCGCCGGGGAGGCTGCGAGCGCGTGGACCCTCCGCTCCCTGCTCGCCGGGAGCCGGAGCGCAGCCGCCTCGCCCCGGTCCTGCGCGAACCCCGGGCGCCGGCGGGGAGGGAGTGCGCCGGCGCCCCCGGCTCGGCGTCTGGTTGGCGCTGCCGCTTGCTCTCGCGGAAGCCCAGCCGCTGCTGACCTTGGGGGCGTTCAGAGAGGTTAAGATACTCTGCCCAGGTGACCCAGCCACCCGGAGGCTCTTTAGCGGCCGGCTAGGTAGAGAGTGGGGGGCGCCAGCATCCCAGCTGGCCGGCTGGAGACCCGGCCCTGCCGAGAGACTCTCGGTTTCGGCCGCCCAGCCTGGCGACGGCGGCACCGGCCTGGGCTCGACGTCAGCAGGGACACGGTCAGGTTCCGCCGCCGCACCCCGCTGGGTGATTTCCCCACCAAAGGTTAGGATTCCACCCGGGTTGGGGTGCGAGTGTGCGTGAACAGGGTTTTCCTCAGCCAGATCGGAGGGAGAGAGAGACGCAAGGGAAGAGGAACTGGTGGGAGGGAGGGGAATTCCCAAGCATTGGGCCAAGAGTCACGATGATTGTAGAGTGACTCTGCTTTTCAGATGGCTTTACTGGAAGAGTAGAGTATTTTGTGTCAAATCCTGTCTCCATCATTCACTTTTTACGGGACACAGCGTCATCTCAGTTTGCCAATCTGAAAAATGGGGTGCACTTGGGTCCCTCTTCCCTAACCCGAAGGCCATGGACACCTCCAGGTCCCGCAGGTGCTTTGAGGGCTAGAAGTGGATCCAGGCAATCCTTTCCATCATGTGAGGTCACCAGGACCGTCCTTGAGGATAGTTGGAAGAGGGTCAGTATGAGGTCACCATCTGATCAAACTTTTCCCGAGGGTACTGGAAGTCTGTCCCAGCCCTGCCCCCTAAGCAGCTGTTTGACCTTGGGGTCTCCCTCCCTGGTGTTCAGTTGGGTGGCGGTATCTTAAAAAATCCCCCCCTCAGGAGTTAACATTTTGTGGTTGATGACTCTGCTTCTGGGGGGTGGGTGGGGGTTTCCTGACTGGGGCAGGGGGGTGACCGATGAGCAGCACTTGCTCTGCTCTCTTCCTCTTTCCCACCAGTTCCTCCTGGAGGCTGAGCTTCATCCCTCCTACCATCCTCAGGATGGCGCGGTACACGGTTTCAGCAGACTCTTCACTGAACCACGGGAGTGGGCCAGAGGGGAGAGGCAGCTAGCACCAGGGCTGGTGGGAGAGACAGACACGCACAGAAATAGTTTTAATTTGGGGTGATAAGGGTCCTGATACAACCGTGCTGACACAGGCACCCGCCAGGAAGGAAGGAACTGTGTGCTTGGAGTCGAAGAAGGCCTGTGCTGGACCAAGTGGGTGAAGGAGGCTTGGCGGCCAGATAGGGACAAGAAGACTCCAGGGGCCAGAAGGGGCATGTTCAGAGGCACAGAGGCAGGAATCTGCCAAGAGCTTGGACAGTGGAACTGGGTAGCGAGGTGACCACAAGGCAGCTTGTGGTGGGAGAGTGGGAGACAAGGCCAGCTGAAGACAGGAACCACAAGAAGGGACATTGGATATCTTGCTAAACTACTTGGACTTAATCCTGGGGG